GGCTCACAACCATCCAAAGTGTTCAAATTACTAGTTGCTCAAACCGCACCTGGCGCCAATGGATGCTTGAATTCGTCGAGGCAAGGAATGATAGAGGTTCCTAATGTTATCCTGCGACACATTTTGCCGGGCATTCATCAGTTGTCGCTCCATATGTGCGATATTTTGTAGTGCCCGAATCTGGCGGCCTACCATGTCCCAAACATGCTCGATTGGTGAAAGGTCTGGTGACCTTGCTGGCCAAGCAAGGAGTATCAACCGCACGGAGACAGTGCAGAAATATGCGAGCGGTATGTGGCATGGCATTATCTTGTTGGAAAATGGCCGCATGATGACGTGCCATGAAGGATAATGCAACCGGCCGCAGAATGGTATCAACATATCGTTGAGTTGTGAAAGATGCACGGAAAATGATTAAAGATGATCTGCTGTCATAAGAAATAGCGCCCCACACCATCACATCAGAGGTTATGGCTAACAAAGGTTGATTGGGACCGCTGACCGCGTCCTGTCCAGACACGAACACGGCGGTTCGGGCCTGGCGAATAATCATCCTATCTTGCCTCGCATTTGTGCTCCTTGGCCTTCCGGAGCCTTCATTTCGTCGGTAATTTCCTGGTAGTAACCATTGCTGCCAACATATTTACACAGCAATGTCTGTAAGCTACAGGTGTCGGCCTATTGCTTGGTATGAGCACACAGCTTCACGCAAGCCTCGAAGTCGTTTAGTTGTCTGTAAGGTTTTCGTCTTAGTGGCATCTTTAGTTGCCTGTTTACGGAAATACAATGGCAGCAACAAAAAAGATAAATTTTCCGCTTGTATTACTTGTTTTATACTTTGTGAATTGTGCATTAGGAATGCGCGCTGTGATCGCAATTCCTGTTCATTTGCCATGAAACTTCGATCATTTGCATGTTCGATCAAGATGTTTTTACATGCCAAATTTCGTCACGATCGCAAAAGTCCTTCTTGGTGCTTCGATTTTTTTTTCAAAAGTGTGTATGTTTATTTCCCGCCGCAAACTTATGAAGCTGGGAACTGTGGGCCAACAGTATGTCGAGAGTGTTGTGACGAAATCTCAGGTCTACAAGTCTCGGCAAATGCATTTGTGAATCTAATATTCACTAGAGAATTCTGTACAAAATTTAGCATATGTAGGGTACTTCTTGTACCCGTATTCATTAAATTGATATTAGTAGCAATAAATGTGTTCATAAATAAAGTGTGGTGATAAGTAAATGCATTCTTAAATGGATACTTTTTTTAACCAATGAGACGGTAGCACAAAATGGCTGTTAGTCTGAAAACGGCATTTTGTCACTGTCAAACTGATTTTTTTTCCCTTTTTAGTTTTGTTAGATGAAATCAATATCAACAACTGTCACATATTTACTTCCATACGATGGTTTTGGGTAACGAACTAAATTTTATATAAGAATTGCATTAATTCGCAAGCAATTAATTAAATAAATTGCTCAAATTTGAGGAATTCAGCTCTGGATTGACATTATTTTATGTTGTTTAATATAGGCGGATCTTATGGCTTTCTGCTTCGAAATACATACTGTTTTTAGTATAAAATCAACATCTATCTCAGATTTGAATTCTGCTTTAATTTAAATCAAATTGCCGTAATCCGTATTGCGTATTTATTCAAAATTTTGCTATGTATCTAACAGCACGTAGTAATAGTATGTAACAGTAACAGTTAAAACAGTATGTAACAGTAACTAACCGTATGTAGTAACAGTATGTATGCGATATTAAAAAAGCAAGACTTCGTGAGTGTTTCTATTGACTAGTGAAGGTGTATCTATATAGTAGTCGGAAAATACTGCAAGAAAAATATTTATGAGTTGAATGTTGTATGGATTGTTTTAATCATATCCAAAAATTATTTGAGCAAATCATTTTCCCTGTCACATATTCTGTTTGACAGCTGTAATTATTATTTTACTCGAAAATAAGCTCCCCTTTTTTTTCTGTATTTTTTGTTTTAAAATTTTGTATGGTTAATCGGATATCTTAATAAATTCAATTTTAAAATGAGAAGAAGGACTTTTAATTACCGTACTATGTAGAAATAGTTACACTGTTAAAACGCTAAATAAACCATACAGGTAATTGCCATATATAATATAAACTGCATAGCTACCGCACGTGTAGTTGAGCGATTTCAGTATAGGGTCTGCATAACTGTACTGTTATTAGCTGGGGCGGTTAGTGCTATGGGGTATTCAGGAACTTTCCCGAAGCGCTCGTGGCCATAGGTCCTCCTTATTACCTTATTTAGACTGTCATGTGTTCTAGGATTGGGTATTCCTTCTTGTGTGCTGCGTTCATGCTCCCACCCCAAACTCCTCAATGTACCAACTAGTGCTTTAGGGAGGTTAATACAAACTTCTTGAGCTCATCTACAAATAGCTAATCCCAGTATCATTATTGCACCTAGCAGAAACAAAATAAAACTTCAAACATACCTGATTTAGACTGTTTAAAAACGGAAGAAACATTTATCTTGTAATGTAGAGCTACGCTACCACGAAAAAGATTTAATGGCACTCAATAAAAAAAGGGGCGGGGGAAGCTAAACTAATGGTAAATATATTTAAACTTATCGTCTTAACTCCATTATCGTTAACACATAGCAAATTCATAGCTGTTCGTAATTCTCTTAGCCTAAAAGCGGGTAATTTGTATGTCCATCCAACCCCACGATTTTGTAACAATGCCGGCACCTTTAATACAAGTCATTGGGACCATCCAGTGAGATAAAAATCTTTACATGAGCGTCCCGGTATCTTGATGAAGACTGCATACATCATGGCATAAATTGACTTTCATAAGGGTATTGGGCACCCTATGACCAACGAGCAAAAGACATCGGTACCTCCATGCTAATTGGAGTATTGTTCAAAAGATGTCGGTACCTCCATGCTAATTGGAGATTGTTCACTTGCATAAAATATTTACCTAGATATCCTGGCATCTTGATGATTGAATTCGTCATGGTATCAACTGAACATAAGGGTGCCTTGTGACCAACTTGCAAAAGGTGCTGATAACTTCATGCTTGTTGGAGACTGTTCACTGAAATAAAATTCTTCGCGTAGGTATTGCATCATCTTTATGAAGGTTGCATTCTTCACAGTACCAAGTAATTTTCATGAAAGTGCCGGGGTCACCCATCCCCCCTCTGTCTTGGCGAACGTGTTGAAAGGGATGCGTGTACCTTTTGTAAATTGGTCGCACCGTTTAACATAGCCGCGTCAGTTCCTCGTTATTGGTAAGCCTGAAAACAAAAGTGTAACTATTACTTTTTTCCCCATACCATACTATAATAAAATATTATAGTGTCAATATTTAATTAATATATTTAATTAAGAATATTTAATTAGGCAGCCGGCTTTTCTCTTTTGTCAGAAGCAAGTGAATTCTCAACTGAACCATGTTCTTTGGAAACATTCATCAAGTTTTTATATTTTAGTATTTTTTCTAAAATAAGGAAAGATTCTTAAGTGGTACGTATCAGGTGAAAGGAATTCGTAGTTAATTAAATGTTTTGTTCTTTTCTATGTGTCTTTTTATTTAGATTTAATGTAAAAGTTTCTTCCATACTTTCATACTGTTTCCAGCGTTCTTTCCGGTCTCATCCGTGGTGATTTAACCGTTTTAGTTTTTTCATTGGTTTACTGGGAAAAAAATGATTTTTGTGTTTCTTATCCTTTGAAATAATGCATTATGTTGTGCATTGAAGGATTCAACGCAGCCGCAATCCGGCACCGAATTTCATTAAGTTTTTTAGTAAAATTGTTATTTTATTCAGAACCCAAAATAAGTTGGGGTACGGTGTTTTATTTCACAGCTTATAAATTTGCTTTTAACTTAACTGAATTTATTAAATTTTTATTTGTATACTTTTTTTGAAATTTTAATGATAATTGTTATCTTTCCCCCCAATTTTCCTTGACGCCCTTCCATAGGGCTCAGGTACCTCGATTTTTTAAAATTTAACTCCTGCTTACAGTTACTGTTTTGAACATTCATATAAAAAATTTCTTGTTTGCAATGCATCTCAAATTTTAAAATGGAATGCAGTGTTTTCAAACTGAAGTAGCGCTAAGCATATGCAGTTAGTTATAAATATTGTCACTAGATGGCGATATCAGATTAATTGGAAATTTCTCAGTTGGAATAAAGAATTTCACTTTGTTTCAGCCTTTGGCGTAAGAAGTGGCACATGTGTTGTTATTTTTTTAGGGTGATATTTGAGGAATGAGCCTTAAAAAACACAGAACAGTAAAAGCCATGATTCTTGTAAGGCAAGCTCACTATATAACAGAATGGAAATGTATGGTGAGGTTTTTGGATAAGAAACTTACCTCTCATTTATGTTTCACATTAGAGAAACTCTAAAACTCTGTATATCCTGTCAATTCAGATAATGCACTGGCTGAATGGACAAGTTCTCATGAAAATTGAAATAGAATTAAACTACCAGGGTTACCTATTCGATCACTGGAAAGGCATGGGAAAATGAAATTTTTCACTCACTCATTTTATATTTTCTGGTAGTTGAATTTTATAATTATTTTTTTAACTGTATATTCGTAATTTTCAGTTTTTCTGAAAAATGATTTTAGTTAATGAATAAATTTTTATCACTTTTTGAAGGAAAATGAATGGCAAAACAGAAAGTTTTATGGAAAAAGTTTCTAAAACTGATGATTGTTTCATATGTTAATGTCATCAGGGATGAATGAGTTATAATTTCAGTGATATTTTAAAATTGTAAGTATACATTAGGCGAGGAGGGGTGTAGAAATAAAATGTTCATGTTATCAAAGTGTTCAAATGAAATAATTATTGAAAAAAGAGGCATAAATCACAAATGTTAATCAAGTAAAATGAAAAATATAAATTATTTCTTATTGAGTTATTTTATTAATTTTTGAGCTTATACTTTATATATTGATATGTCTTTCACATATATTTTTAGGTTCTACATTGTATAATATAGTTGATGTTAATAAAGAAATTTTAGCACAGCAGTCAAATATTGTAAGTATATAAATTGGGAAATTATTTTAATATTTATGTAGCATTTTAATTATGTATTCCTCAGTACTATATAAAGAATAGTTTGAATTACATATAGAGAAAACGTATAATGCATATTTTTTTTAATGTGACTATTTTCCTCTTCCCAAATTGTCTTCTTGCAAAAGTAAATATGCAATTAAAAGAGATAGTATTTTAACATAGTTTGAGTTATAACACTTAACGTTTTTCATTTAGTAATACATGTTTTATTTCTGATCCTTAGATAAAGAGCTTAGAATTTGATTTCTTGGAACCAATGGAAATAGCTGCTGAGAAAGACACAAAACTTGTTGGGGTAACATGAAATTTTATATATTTGAATGCCTTTTATTTAATAAGTGGTACTGTATCTACAGTTCTATTATTTTCTTAGGCTATTAACATATATACTAACCAAATATTTAATACTAGACTAAATTGCTCAAAGAATTTAAATAATATATTTCATATAATTTATATTCGTTCAGATTTATCTGCATTAATAGCTTTAAATATTTCATATTTTCAATAACTCATTTAATTTCATCTAATCTAGAATTATTTTCATGTGTAAGAGCTTATTGGTGTGTTATGTTACTTACATGAACATATGTCATTAAATTTTAATAACAGTAAAAAATGTAATATTTGTTATGTATATAATGTTAATTGAAATGAAATGTTGAGTAAGACATGGATTGTTTTAAATTTCCTTTATCACAAATTATAAATTTTTACAACTGTCTTCTAACTAGTTGAATACATTAACAATTTTCCACATATATTGGTAATTGCACCTTAAAACTGTGAGATATATCATATTTCCTTGCATGTTTCTCTGTCTCTCTCTCTTTTTTTTTTTTTTTTTTAAACTGATTTTATCGTATACGAAAATCAAGAGGGAAAAATTATGCGTATAATTTAATTTCTCAAGATTGCAGTTACAGCAAGAACATAGCAAATGAAAAGTAGTCATTGATAAACTACTGGTAACTGTAACAATATTGTTTCTTTAAAAAAAACTACATTCCAATAAGAATCTATAGTAATGTTAACATGACGATATCTAATAATATATTTTCATTTCTACTTCCTTGTAACTTCAATCTTACCCATTCTTATTATTGTCTCTGCTACTCCTTAGGCCTTACATCATCCATAAGTAATTAGAGAAGGTAAATAATACAAAAATAGTGGCTGTGTAATGAACCCATTTTAAAATATAGGGTCCTCTTTGAATGCATTAAAGAAAGGAAAATTATTTGAACATTTTTAAAGTTTTCAAAACTTGGCACTAAAGCTAGGGAGAAAATTACACAAGGAAATACAGTAGTCAGATTTACATGTAATAATTTATAAATCAACTTTAGTGTTGAAATGTTTTTAAATGGTTGTAATTAATGATTATGATTTTTGAAAATATTTACTATACATAGAAATTCTTCTTTGCTTAATTTAGCTTAACATTTATTTGAGATGTATGTAATAGCTTTTAGAATGTTCATAATAAGTATCCTAAAGATAAATAACTGGCTTGGAATTTTCACTGAATGGCGGAGTTGTTTAGGAACTAGCATTAAGTTTTAATCATGAGTAATTTGTACAGTTTCTTAGCAAAAAGTATTCTGTAAGTTATGTTATCATTTCATTATATATCTTTACAAAAATAAATATTAGGTTGTTGAATTTGAAAATATTAGTGTTGTGCAGTAAGGCAGTTCAGTAGAATAAGAAATTTTTCTTCTGTGTCTCTGTCAATTCCTGTTAATGCCATGAGTTTGAAGTATTCTCTAGATCAGCGATTCTCAACCAGTGGTACACAAGGAAAAATAAGTGGTAGCAAAGAAACATTCTGTTATATAGTGGTATGCAAAGAAACAAAGTGAAAAATAGGTGGTATGCAAAGAAACAAAGTATTAAATTTGTAAAGATTTAAAAAAAGGTGATTCAGAGGCCGATGATAATTAAGTAAAGGCTTTATTAAATGATGGAATTTCAAGCACATGGAACAGCACATTTCTACACGTCACACCATGACCAAGAACTACCACACTGTTGCCAGATCAACCTAAGAAAACCTCTTCAGCATTCAAGAGCCTTTGCATAACAAAGTCCAGCGTAAGCATTTCATTTGGCTGGTTCTCAATCGTCGATTTAATAATGTTGTACTCAGAAGGTAGCAAAATCAACAAATAAATAAATCACATCCATATCTTTGACTTCAGCACCCAAGAGCCGCAGCTCGCAGTTCATTTATGATCGCCAACAGTTCGTTAATATGTGACTGCATACTACAATCTCGGCTTTTCTTCAATGTCGATAATTTCTTTCGTACTAATATTTGACTAACTGCCCTCACCTTGTGGTATTTATTCTTTAAACTGCTCCAAATTTCACATGCAGAATATTTACTCGACACGGTCGCCAATATAGCATCATCTAGAAGGGTTAGTAGCAAGGCATAAGCCTTTTTTGCATCTTTGATTTCAGCAACTTTTGTTTCATCCACTTCAAAGTCTAAATATTTATCAAGTTCTTTGGCTGCAAACACAGCTTCAACACGACGCTTAAACAGAGAAAAGTTTTTACCGTTAAACGGCTCAACATAATACTTTGTGTTCTCATCACATGCTGCCATTTCAAATTTCACTTAACGCGCGATTCTGTTCCAAACAAATAAGTTCCACAAAACAAATATAAATGCTTTGCCTCTAGCGTGTTCAATATCACAACCATGCTCTGCTGTAAAGATTATAAAAAAAAGTGAATCAGAGGCCAATGATAATTAAGTAAAGGCTTTATTAAATGATGGAATTTCACACACATGGAACAGCACATTTCTACATGTCACACCATGATCAAGAACTACCACACTGTTGCCAGATCAACCTAAGAAAAAGTATATAACAGTTACGATTAAAATACATGACATTAAATCAGGAACCGGGGAGTACGTGTGATTATTCTCAACAAAATTGAAAAATTAAATACCTCAACATTCTATTTAAATTTTTTCTCTAACACTAAATTTATGTGACCTGAGCTTTGTTCAAGGTCAGCAGCTGCTCATAGACTTTAGCAAAATAATCTGTTCCCTCCCCCACCACTATACACTAATATTCTTAGTTTACGCTTTATGTCACTGTCATTTCCAAGCTCATATTTCTCTGTTTTCAATTAGCATAATTTTTTTATGCCGATTTGCTGTTCTTTAACAGCAAGTATTTTGCCTTCTTGTTGCTTTGTATTCTTTACTTTTCTACATGATTTGAGAATATCGTCGTTTGTTTTTGAAGAACTCATAATATATTGTGCATTTAAATATTTGTGAAAAAATAATAAAACAAACTTAGATTTTTCAAAATGGAAAAATGGCAGAGAAAGTGGAAAAGTCATGATTCACAGGTGATGGATTCAGAACAATCTACTAGCACTAAGAATATTGAAAGATTGTTTATAGAAAATATAATGAAAGCTAATTATTATTTGGGTTTACTTGGAATGAAGATGAAATTGACCCTCAAACTCAATGTGTTGTTTGGGGTGAACTGTTATCCGATCAAAGTATGAAGCCATCATTTCTAAAAAGACATCTTGAATCTAGCATGCCAATTTAGAGGATAAATCTAAAGAATATCGTAGGAGGAGATTATCTAGTTCAAAAATAGTAAACAAGTAATGAGAGGTTTTGTTACTCAAGTGAAAAAGCTTTGGAAGATAGTTACCTAGAAGCCTAAGAATTGCCAAGACTGGGCTGGTTCTCACTATTGGAGAAAACCTTATATTACCAGCAGCTAAAGTTATCGTTTTGCCAAGACTAAAGAATTGCCAAGACTGGGCTGGCTCTCACTATTGGAAAAAACCTTATATTACGAGCAGCTAAAATTATCGTTTTAATATTATTCAGTGAAAAAGCGGCTAATGAACTTAATAATATTCTGTTATCAAATGATACAGTAAGTAGATGAATTCATGAAATGCAAATTCCATAAAAGAGACACTTATTCAAATAATAAAACACAGTGAGTATTTCGCATTGCAATTTTATGAAAGTACTGATATAACGAATGGTGTTCAATTATTGAAATTATAGTGTTCAGTTATTGTGTACTGATATAATGAACTGTCTACATGTGTTTTGAAAAAGGTAAAAGAATTGCAGAAGAGTATTTTGTGAATCTCTTCATGATAGAACAACTGTAAATGAAATTTCAAAGTAATTGACAATTTTATGTCTGAGAATGATCTTCCTTGGAATAAGTGCATTGCTGTATGCGGTGACGGAGCTGGGGCTTTAGCAGGGAAACATTCTGGTATTATTTTTAAAATAAATAAAAATGTACCTGGAACTAAATTTACTCACTGCTCCAATCATAATGGAGCTTTAGTAGCCAAAACAATCCTCAAAAACATGAAAATTGTTTTGAATCAAGATGTGAAAATTGTTAATTTTATTAAAAACCAAACTTCAAGAATATTTACGATTTTATGCTAAGAGATACGCTGTGAACGTGAAACATTTTTGCTACATTCTGAAGTAATGTGTTAATCCACAGGCAAAGTTTTAAATTGTCTTTTTGAACATTAATCAGAAAATCCAATATTCCTTTGTGATTTAAAATTTGAATTGCAACATGATTTATTTATTTAGTGAATTATGGTCGCCACGTTTAGCATATTTAGCTGATATTTTTGGAAAGTTAAATTTATTGAATTACTATGGATTGAATGATTACAAGGATAAAGTGTTAATTTGTTTACCATTAGAGATAAAATAAATGTAATGGTAAAAAAATTCAAGCTAATAATCAAGGAATTGGATACTAATATTTTAAGCTTTTTAACCACTTTTAGAAAGTTTTCTAACCAAAAAAAAAAAAAAAATTTGAAAATGTAATAAGACTTAACATCCGACATTAAAAGTCATTGTTTTTCATTGACAAATACAGTTTCAACATGTATTTTCTGAGAATTATGAAAAAGAAAATTAGAAATCCATTTTGTTCAAATGTACCTGAAATTTTATCTCGTGAAGAAAGAGAATAATTGGTAGAAATTTCATGTGATTGAACTGCAGATTTCAAAAATAACACATTTGCTAACTTTTGACTGAAATGAAAAAAGAAGTTAAAGGCATAAAGTTATTAAATTTTTATTATATTTTTGCACAGCCTATTTGTGTGAATAAGAATTTTCTTCCATGTTATGTTTGAAAAACTAATACAGAACAAAATTAATTTTAAAAAATCTGAAAGCTTTCAGATTTTAAGGGAGTTTTTTTTAACATTTTGTGTGTTGCCTTTATTTATTAAATATATATTAAATATAAAATAAATTTCTTTGCACTTAAATCGTTAAATTCAGTTCAACAGCAATATCGCAAAGTAATTTTAAAATGAGCATATCTTTAGAATTTCTGATACACAGTTTCACGCGCTGAAGATAATTTTTTTCCCCTGTTCAGTGTTGCCATTGCTCACTTTGAAATTGTTGAGCTTGTTAATCAAAAATTCGTTAAGTTTTACAAAATATGAAATAGATAATAAAACAAATTCCGAATTTGGGCTTTCAGATGCTCATACTTGAGTGTAAACATGTATTATTCAGTATTTGATGGCTCTAGATACTGGTGTTTTATCAAAATGCAAGAAACGTACATATATTTATGCAGATTCTTCATTATTTAATTTCTTTAACTATAATACAGGGCTCTAATATTTGGTAGCAACAATTTGATAAGTGTACATCCATTTATAGTGAACCAACACAAAATGCCAAAGCAAAATTAATAGCCCTTCTGGTCTAATGTCCTTTGGGCTAAAAATGGATCCTAATTTATGGTTAAAACTAAGTGAAATAAGACCAGACATAAAGAACTTGATCTGTCTTAAAAAGGCCAAAATTTTGCACTAAGTTTTAGAATTAAAGTATTATAACTTAAATTTTGATCATTAAAATGGTAACCAAGTTTTAATCTAATATTTTTTATGTGTGCATATTTAATACAAATACCCAATAAATTGTGGAAATGGCAATATATATATATTTTTTAATATTTTTAGAGTAACTGAAATATCATTGTAAAATGCAGTGTTGGTACTAAGGTTTTTCAATTTTTATTAGGTGGTGTGCGTTAGTAAAATGGTTGAGAACCGCTGGCTCTAGATGCTAGTAAAAATTTTTTTAATTAAGTCAGTTGTGTAAGAATATTTCTGATTAATAGTAGTGCATTTTCTGAAATTTCTTTACGTATGTTTGTCGCAATTACTGCTGGAAGTTGCTATTTTCTTTGCTGATCATTTTCTTTTCTTTTAATCATGTTGCCATTTTGTTCTATCTTTAGTGTAAATGGAGAGGTGGTATTATAAATAAAACAAGAATTACATTACATTTTCTGTAGTAGAAGTTAGATATTACAGCTGGATTTGAACTATTTGAACATAGCATGACATTTTACATGTTGATAACTGAAAACTATCTGATGTTACCAGATTTACATTTAATAAATTGATTGATAACAAAATACAAAATGATTATAGTATTAAAACATTGTTAATATTTAAAATATATTGGTGAATAGTAACCATTGAATTTGGGAAATATTACCTGCAATCATCACATAAATTCAGTTGCATTAAATTGTGTGACTAAATCAGACTGTTGTTATTCTGTCAAACCATAGAATTAAAAATATGCAAGATAGATTTAATCTTGATCATCATGCTACCAAATTAAGTTTAAATTTTACTTCTATATTTTTTTTTTCAATCTGCTATTGTAAAGCTTCATTTTAATGTCAGCCTTAAATACTTAAAGCTAATGTGAAATTTTTGGTAAGAACAGGAAACATATAAATATGAAAAGCTGCAAACTAATAGACAGCATATGCATAAGCAAAATGTTAGGAATTGTAAAATTTATATTAATTCTAGAAGCTATGTTCTGTGTAGTTAATATTATTATAAATAAATTATCTTTTATTCATTGGTAATCCTAGAAGAGAGAAATAATTCTCTGATTTTGAAATGAATTCTATCAGAAGAATAAAACTCCAAAATTCCTTTGAATTTCCAAAAACAAACATGTGTTTGAAGCCATTCTTCTAAGCTTATTTATACAGATGACCTCAAAAATATGTTAATAAATTAGATATTAGGAATAAAATGTTCAATTTACATAAAATATATTAATAACACTGTAAACTATGCATAATTTTCTGAAAGCTTATGCTTGTATTAAAGCGTAAGTTAATTAAGTGTATTTTAAGATATAAAAATATAATTAATAGCAGCAATAAAATTTTTCATTTATATAATTAAAAAATTTTAGTTTATCAAGTTATCTAAAATTGTTATATTATTTAACATATTTTGAAATTAGTTTTGTAAAACTAACCAAAAAATATAATTTTCAGAGGGAACAAAAGAGATTTCAGCAGTTATATAAAGGGCGTCGAGAAGCATATATGAAATGTGTGACAACGCTCAAGAAAACTAGAAGAAAAAAGAATATTAATACAGATAAGCAGCTCTCTGTATGTATTATATTAGATTATTCTTTACATCTAATTTTTCTGAATTAAAAATATAATAACAATAATTTCTTTAAAGAGCCATGTTGTGTAGTAATAAGTTTGTTATCTTGCAGCATATGAAAATGCTGGAAAGTGCCAAAGAAAGATTAGAAGTATTCTGTAATGATAGTCTGAAAGAGGTTTGTTATATTTTAGTCTTAGTATTTTAGGCTGTTTACAGTAAAATATTTCATATGAATATAGATGAATGTGTTAGCAAATGATTTTGAATCTGAATAGTAATTGCTAAAAATATATAATTTAATTTCCTTTTGATATTTTTACATTTTTCCGAGGAATTTTCCGAGAATTTTGTGGAAGAATTCCAATGCAAAATAGTTTCAGAAGCTTTTAGAATTATGAAATTTTATTTATCTTTAATGTGGAGATATTTCTAGCTATAACCGAAACTTTCCAAAATATTTCATTGGAAGTTGTATAATATTCTATTTATAGCAAAAGAAAACTTAAAGCTGATAAAAGGAGAAAATGTCTGCCAGATTTTGGAATACCTTAATGTAAATTGTATGCAACCTCCTCATACGAAGGTTTTCTTGTCTGTCTGGAATTTGTAAAGGAATGGAGTCTGCTTTTCATCCATTTCTCCCAATAAGTAGTTTGTGCTTCAGAATTCTAATGATGATGAGATCCAGTGGTTGCAAAATTTTGGAAGCCCACTCGGTGTCACTGAGACACAAATGCTCATTCCCCCCTTCAAATTTTACCATTTCCACTAAATGAGATCGCATTGAATTCAAAATGATGAGTTCATGATGTTGCAAAAAAGGTTCCTTTTCAATAAATTTCTTTCAATCGAAAGAACATCATTTCTTTTTTTGCACATGCATCCGTTTTCATTGGTGCAAATAATGACACTTTTAGGGAAGTTTTCTTTTGGAACTGTTTTTCTTTTGAAAATTATCAAAGGGTATCAAATCTCCATTGGTGGCATGATCCAAAACATAAGAAAAGAAGTCTTTTTCATTCTCGATTCTAGATAAAGAAATAGTTTTTTTACCTGTTGAATGAACAGTGCTGCTTGGATTGCATTAAAAAGTAACAGGCACCTCATCCATATTAATGATTTGCTCTCTGTTCAAATTTCGTTCTTTAATTTTCTTTCATGTGTCCCCCAAAAAGCCATCTTTATTATTATTATTTTTTCCTCAAGCCAGTCCATGAGCAACTTCTATACAATTGTTTTTTAAATCCTGATGGATAATTTCTTTTGCATCAAGAACCTGAAGCGTACTTAGATCTTGCAGCAAAGTTTGTAATGCCCATTTGTTGAGCAGTTACTTTTGTTTAAAGATGAATTCCTACTCTTGATACTTTTCTTTCTCCCTGCTCTGTTGTTCCTTTCTCTAAATTGTGTTCCAAAACAGGCCAGGCAATGATTCTAGTCCAACAAGATTGTTTATTCATATGCACTTTCCCTAATTCTTCTTTTTCAACCCCCCACTGCCAAATGCAGTTTTCATCAACCTGAATTCTCTAGCCACAGATGATTTTTAACTTCTGTACTTTTCTTTACTGCTGAAGTAGCTGTTTTACTTTTTCTTAGAGTAGGAGCATAATAACAGTAATAATTTTAAAAATCCCACAATACAAATGATAAAGTAAGCTCTGCAGCAAGCCACAAAGCAGTAAGCCTTGCATAAGGATGAACATGAGGAAATAAAAATTCCTGTGGCCTTTAAAAAGACAATGGTTATTAGAAAACACAGACAAAATCATGGAGCTCAGCATTGAAAGTACATGTATAACAGAATCTTTACTACAGTTAGGTGAGTTTAATAAACTTTACTCAAACTTGTTATATGCCTTAATGCAACCTAAGGGCTTGTATCAGTCTGAAATGTTGCAGCGAATTCTACATTAATTTTTCACTTGCACATGACTTAACAATATAACTTAGCGAAGTTCTAAATCTGAGAAAAAAAGAAAATTACTTCAGATAAGCCACTCTGGCAGATTCACAGCAGCCCTAAATTTTCAGCTTTTAAGCATGTATAAGCCATGGCTTATCTACCTGAAATTACAGTGCTTGTTCTTTTTTCTGTTACCTTATATGTCACTCTGTACTTTCATATGCATTCCTTACCTTATATTATCTTATAAACATTTCCATTTTTTACACGTCCTAAGGGGATTTGTCCCAATCGTTGCCACCAAATACTATCGCCCTGTATTATATTTGAAGAAATTAAATAATGAAGAATCTGTATAAATGTATGCAAGTTTCTTGCATTGTTATAAAACAATGGTACCTATAGTGATTCAATTTTGAATGAAGTAATCCTACTGCGAATATGGGCATCTGAAAGTCCAAATTTGGAATTTGTTTATTATCGATTTTATATTTTGTAAAACTTTAATGAATTTTTGGTTAACAAACTCAACGACTTAAAAGCGAGCAATGGCAACACTCTTTTGGGGGGGGGGACATTTTATCTGAAATGCGTGGTACTGTATATTAGAAATTCTAAAGATATGCTCATTTTAAAATTATTTTACAACATTGCTATTCAACTGAAACGCTATTCAAAAAAACGCCCCTTTGGACGGACGTAATTTAAAATCTGAAGATTTTCAGATTTTTTATTTTTGTTGTAGTAAATGGTAAATCTATACTATTTTGTCTTATATAAAATTAAATGTTTTGAATGAAATAAAGTTTTCTGTTAAAGGAAATGTTAAGTATGCTTATATTATTTCAGGCAATTATTCAAGAACGAGTCATGTATGGAACAGTCCTAGAACGCCAGTGTGCCTTAAATAGGCAGTTTCTAATCTATCATACTAAGGTGATTGATAATTTACTCATTAGCAAAAGTAACTAATAATGTTTTTAAAGAACATCCAGTATGCATGAAGATTTTTTGTAGATCCAGTCTCATATCTAAGGTTGAACTATTGAAGTTTTTTCTTTCATAATTACTAATAGTGAGAATTTCAGAATTTAATTTATTTCTCTTCATTTCTTCCTGATGCATTTTTTGTAGTTTCAACTCATAAGCAGAGATGTTGCTGTATCTTAACCCTCTCGCTGTGTAACTTTTTAAAATTAAATAGGTTTCAAAATTTGCCTATTTATTATTATTTTATTTATTTATTTTTTTTTTTATTATTATTATTTAATTCCAATTCTACATATATTTTACAATTAAAATATACAAAAAATTTTGTAAAAAAGTTACCCTTCCAATAGACAATTAGATGATAAATAAAGGTTGTCAGAAAATTTAAATTGGAAGAATAATCATATAAAAGCAAAATTTTGAAAATTAATCTTAGCTAAATTATGATTTATTTTATGAAATACAAAGGTAAAACGTATATATTAATGAAAATATGCAAAATATGTATTAGAAACAAAGTTTAATATGATAAACTTTGAAACAAGGCTTGAGAGGAAATCCTACCTTGCAATCTCTGCACCAAATTTTCAACTTGTATTTCCAGCCTCTCTCTCTCTCTGTGAGGTTTTTTTTTTTTTTTTTCTTTTCTTTTTCTTTTTTAAGCAACAGACAACACACTGTCTAATAGGCTCTTTCTTGGGGGGGCTAGCAAAATGATGAGCAGTTAGTCTTATGAGATTGAGAGTCAAATTATAGATATCTTTGAGCTCTGAAAAGAGTGCCCAAAATGAGGCCAAACATGCTTGCATATTTTGCAGAAATGCGGACAACTAACGGCATGTGTTAACCCAGATCTGAATAAACAATTAAACATCACAGAAAAGCCAAAATGAAACCATGACAGGGGCGTAGCTAGAGGGGGGCAAGGGGGCATCTGTCCCCGGGCGCAGAATCCAAGGGGCGCCAAACTGATGTTACGACATTTTAGAATTAAATGTTTTCCATCCTTGGCAAGCAGTAGGGGGCGCAAACTCTTCAGTTGTTCCTGGGTGCTGAAAACCCTAGCTACGACTCTGAACCATGAACAAGAAAAGAGCGGGTTGCGCAAATTTGGCTACTACTACATTGCATGTGGAAATCGCGGGATATTTTGCGAGAGGGTTAAAGCACAAATGCATCATACAGTTCAGTTTCCCATGGCTTTCTCTACTTTCTTCTATGTAAGGTAAATATGAGCCCTTCTCTTTGAAAAGCCCTCATAGAAAGCATCTTTTTCTGCTTACACAGAGGGACCTTGAATGCTTTGTGTAAATAATTACAAAACAGTTAACATAAAATGAATATTTTTTATAGAGTTAGAACAACTGACTGTAAACATTTTCATTATTTTAAATTGTTTTATGCAGAGAACACTTTTTTTTTGGCAAGTGTTATTATTGAGGTAGCACATGGTCTAATAAAATATTTTAATTATTTTTAGGGATGTGAAATTTTGGAAGAACAATTACCCCAGTGGGAATCTATTGCTGAGACAAGAGACAAGTTACCAGAGTCCTGTTATGCGGCTGTAAAAAATGGACCTGAGGTATTGCTTTTTAGTTTTGTAAAATGTTTTAGCTTGTTCAGCAAGATAGTTTTGATTTGTGCTTTTTCAGGGCTTCATAAGTCTAGTGTATTAGGCACTATTGTATACCTGTTAGTGTTTTCTAAAGTGGCAACTCTCTTAAATGCAAGTTTTCTAAATTTTACTGTGAAAATAATAAATTAGCTATTGAAATGCATACTTTATATCATTTATGGGGGAATTCCTTTGTTTTTTTCTGAACAATATTAATTTTTAGATGTTCCTAATCCCCATCTAAAATAATTAAATGTCCAGAAATTTTATATTCGCTTGGATTAAGCTCAATGTTGGCATTTCTTATGCAAAAGTCATATTTAAGATAAACAAAGTATAGCATTTAAAAAGGATGTATGATATTAGGATTCTGTGCAGTGATTTCCAAAAACTCATTGATAACTTGGTAGTCTGAGGTATACTTTTATTTAAAAGGAATATTGGCTATCAATAAATCCAACACTGCATGCAGATCTGTAGGTAAAGCAAATGAGGATCTCATTTACCGTATTTGACAGCATGTAAGACGCACTTTTTTTCCTAAATTTGGTCTCAAAAAAGTTACCTGCATCTTATACGTGAAGGACAAAGGTTAACTTTCAATACTGAATGCTATTTTTAGCCTGGATAAAGGTCTAGACACACATAACTTTTTCTACATCTGCCATAATTATTTTGCGCATGCATGAAATATCTGTCGCCAAAAAGCGCCAAAGCTCAAAGCTGATGTCGAAGCTCGAACAGGTTCGACGATCACATTACGTCTATGGAGCCTTTCCGTTTTTACATAGACTTTCTTTGACTCAGCCGACACACGTATCGGTATCGTTGCTTACTCTGTATAAATGTTTCGGTATTGGTGCTTAAAAATATTTGTTTTAAAAAAAATGCCGTGGAAAATATGACCACAGGAAACAAGAGATTAAGCTATACAATTCAGTATAAACTAGGAGTGTTAAACTACGCCAAAGTGCATGGAAACAGAGCAGCAGCAAGGCATTTCGGTCCACCACTTACCGAAAAAATGATACGTACTTAGTGACTGCAGGAAGATCAACTGAAGACTGAAAAAAAATAAAATAAAATAAAATAAAACCTTTGATGCCCAGCTCCATCTTGGCTTGAACTTGAAAATGCTGTAAAAATGTGGGTGATAGATAAGAAGAAATCTGGGATAAGTGTTTCAACCAAAATGATAATCAATGAGGCCAAAGGATTTGCAGAAAAACATGGGAATCAGAACTTTCAGGGTCTGAGGGCTGGTGCTACAGGTTCATGAAAAGGCAAGGCTTATCAATGTGCACAAAAACAACTATTGCACAGAAAATGCCAGCAGATTATGAAGAAAAAATACTAGCATTTCATAGGTTTGCTATAAATGCACGCAAGAAAACTTCTTTTGAGCTTGGTCAAATAGGAAATATGGATGAAATTCCACTCACATTTGATGTACCATCCAACAAGACTGAGTTTTAAAGGGTCTAAATCATTAACCATAAAAACCACAGGTCATGAAAAAACCCGATATACGGTAGTTCTAACATGTTGTGCTGATGGCACAAAACTACCGCCGTTTTTCATATTCAAAAGAAAAACTCATCCGAAAGATTATTAAATGTTCATGTTCATCTGAAATTGTTCGGGTGTATTGTTCATGTTCATCTGAAAGGCTGGATGGACGAAGCTGGAATGAAACTGTGGTTGCAGAACGTATGGTCAAGGCGACCTGGTGGACTCTTAAGAAAACACTCTCTTTTTGTTTCGGAACAGTTTAGTGCCCGTAGAACTGAAACCATAAAGAATAAAGCGAGAGAATTAAAAACCCAGATAGCTGTCATTCGTGGTGGACTAACTAGCCAATTGCAGCCTTTAGATGTATCGGTGAAAAAGCCATTTAAGGAAAAAGTGCGAGAACGATAGAACAAGTGGATAGGAGAGCCACATCACGCCCTCACACCCTCAGGTAGAATGAAGCGGCCCTCTATTTCACAAGTGTGCGAGTGGGTAAAAGGATTTTGGGAGGACGTAAAGGCTGAAGTAATTGTTAACTCCTTTAAGAAGTGAGGGATCAGTAATGCTCTTGACGGAACAGAAGATGGCGCATTATTCAAAGAAGGTGATACTAGCGATGACGGAAACAGTAGTGATAACGATATTTTCGTTTTCGATGATGATGATAGTGAAAAGGATTTTATGGTTTTGAAAGTGATTAAAGTCTTATTTCATGATAGGCAACGTTTTCCTTGAATCTGTGTTTTTTGTTGTTTCTGCTTTATTTTGTATTATGTTTGATTGCTTGCCGTTCATTCATTTATTCATTATTGAAATTTACATATCATGTTCAAAATAGCTTGCCGTATGTTAATTTTCCTTAATAAAAATATGTTTGGTAATTGCATTCAATAGGTTATGGCAAAGCACTCGAGGGTTATCTGCTTTAAGGGAGGGATGCCTTCATAGAGGACTTTTTAAGGAAAACTGGCTCGTATACATGTCACACATGGGGAAAACCACGAAAACGCCCATGCAGCCAGCCCGTTCGTGGGCTTCGAACCTCGGACCAAACTACCAGTGTTCAGCGACGTTACCGCTCGGCCGCTGGTGGGCCTTACGAAATGTGAAAACTAAAAGAAACCACATTTGAAGTTATTGTGGACTATTGAAACTTTTTTTCCGTGTGTGTGGTCTTCTAAATAAGGGTGTGTCTTATATGCTGTCAGATACGGTATTTTATTAGCCCAAAGGCACAATTTGCCCGTAAAGGCAAATTTTGTGTTGGTTCACTGTAAATGATGTTTCACTTTTTAGATTGTTGCCACCAAATATTTAAAGAAATTAAATAATCTGCATGAATATATATGAATGTTTCTTGCACTGTGGAAAACAATGGCACCTAGAGACATAAAATTTTGAATAAGGTAGTCATACACTCGAATATGGGCATCTGGAAGCCCAAATTTGGAATTTGGAATTCTCTTTGTTATTTGTTTCGTATTTTAAACTCAGCAATTTCAAAGTGAGCAGTGGCAACACTGTATGGAAAAAAGAACATTCTTATCTCCAGTGCCTGAGACCTTTGGGCATAATATAAATCTGGAAGCTCTTAGATTTTTTAAAAATTTATTTATTTTATTTTTTGGTGTATGAAAATGTAATTTTTACTTAAAGTTTGTTTGTGTTGATTATGCACTATAACATGAGAGAGCTCAGATTTTTAAAGCATTAAATATGTATTTACTTAACACATTATTGTGTATCATTGTTATTAGCAAAGTAATTTGTAATATTTTTGCACATTCAGAACTACTTTGACAGTAAATGATGCAGAAAATTTCAGTGTAAATATTCTAACAATGTGTGCAGCAAGCAATTAATTTCAAAATTTGCATTGCAAACATTGACATTTTTGGCAGTTATCATTTTATATGGGGCCAAGAAGCTGAGCATGAAGTGCTAGTAATACTAGTAAAATATAATAATATAGGTTATGCAGTCTTATTTGATATATCTTATGTTCTGCATTCACAATGCAAGACCAGTAATATTTAAACATAGCATATTGAAAGTTGGAAATAAATTTATTGTATTTTAACTAGACATTTATATATTTGAATAACTATGTTACAGAAATTAGAATAAAAATTAAATTCTGTTCTGTGCATTCCAAATTAACTTCAGCAGGCATTGAAGTTGCTGAACTGCTGAGAATTAAGAGTTTCTAATAAATTATAACTTTGATGCTAATTTAATTATATATATTTCCTCTGAAAACTGTTCATAAGTTTAGCTTTAATTCTAACATTAAAAATTTTAATCCATTCAAAGTTTTTTCATATTATTGTACACAAATAACAAGACATGCTTATAATCTGTGACACTTGTTTTCTTGTATTATCTTGGCATATGTGAAATTGTGTGCCTTAAATGTTATAATTTCAATGTGAATCTTTTAATATTGAAAATTTTCAATAATAAAAATGCTGTTTTGCCATTTGTTGAACTTTATTTTTAAAGCATTCGAAATGTATATATATATATTAGTTTATATATATATATTTCAAATGCTTTTTTTAATTATACATATATATATATAGCAATATTTTAATACCTATATTTTAATGCTCATTTCCTAGCCTTTACCTGGAAGTATAGAGAATCCTTATTCTTTGGATAGTATGCTGGATGTAGTGATTCGAAATAATTCAATAGCACGAAGTTATGGTAAAAAAGATAGAGATTCTCTTCTGTCACATACTTTAAGGTTACAGTGTTCAGAAGATAACATTTATGCTAGACCAATTGTTCGAGCAAAGTCAGAATATTGCCTTCCAACTAATTCATCTCCTCCTACACTTACTGGTAAGTTCATAATTTAATACTGTTGGAAAATAGATTATATTTACTAGTTGAGTTTTCACTGATCACTTTTTTTCCTTCTCTAAAAAAATGGATAAGGCCTTAATTTTGTATATCAAATAAACTTAAGTAAGATCATTTTTCATTCATTTCGTTCAACATCTTTGGAGATATAAATATAAATGAAATTTTCTTCACTGAAGAATTTAAAAACAGATATTGTTAATTATTATTATACTATATATATTCATGAAAATTATCAGTTGAATAAAAATTAAGCATTTTAAATTATTAAATGTTATTAAAAATTAAATTATTAAGAAATGCTTTCATTCTTTTAAATTGCTCAATTATTAATGCAACAGAATTATAAATTGAAAATCTTTTGTCACGTAAAATATCAGCACTCTGGAGATAGGCTTTTTTTCATGAAACAAAGATAATAATAATGTACTGTCTTGTGCAGCAGAATCTTTTGTATGGTCATGCTAAAATAACAAAATAATAGGTAATGGCAGAAAATTTGGAAACATTTTGTTTAAAAATGTTGTAATGGCAAAATAAAATTTTGTTATTATCAAATTTAATGTTTTTATTTTGAGGTAAATTTTTTCCACGTAATATGTCACACCTTAAGAACTTGCGAAATTTTCATTTAAAAGAAATGTAGACATCTTTGTGCTTAAAAGAACACTATTTTAAAATTAATCGTAAAAGAAAGATAAATCAGCTGAGACTAGAATTAAATAGTTAAAGAATTTCAGTTGTTGTTTTTAATGGGTTCAGTTTTTTTTTTTTTTTTTTAAAATTAAATTTGCTTGTTTCAGGATTTTGCTTTTAGTTTCTTTTAATGAATGAATCCTGAATTCTTCCTTTAATACAAAAAGTGAGTCCCATTGTATAGGTTTTAAAAGAAGACATAATTTTTAGCCTTTTACCTGTCGGGGGTGGGGGAGGATAAGCTTCTTTGCTGTCATGGAAAAAAAAAAATATTAAAAAGGGAAAGAAAATCTAATAAGATTTTGATTGCAGCATCTCACCAGAGGGTTTATAAAGGCTTTCTATGATCAAGCTGAACCTAAATGTAAAAAATCTGCTGCTAGACTCACTCCCACTTTCACAATTCTTTTGTCTTTTTGGTTTAATTATTAAATATTTGCTTTCTTTGCACTTATGCCACAAACAGCTCGACAGCAATATCACAAAATATTTAAAAGCAGCATACCAGCATATGTTTAGAATTGACAATACAGTGTTAAGTGTTGTCATATATTTTTCTACTCATTTCAGTCTTTTCTCTGTTCGTCATATTAGTCTTCAGTTTTTTTTAGTAACACAGCTTACAAAACTTTTTTTTTATCTCTTTGTTATTAACTTTTTTTATGTTGAACACTATTAAACATCACGTTCCTTGTACTTATACCACATAATTCATTTCCGAAGATCCTTCATCATCTGAGATGTTCATAAACTAAAACTGTTTTGCCCATCGACATTCATGTAAATTGGGTTAATTTGTTTCTCCAACTTGGACAATTGTTTACTTAATTTATACCACAAAGTTAAAAAAATGTGGTGGTAAAGGATTACCAGCCGGGATATGTCATTTGGCATCAGTTGTATCATTTTGGGGGATTTTATCGCCAGAACCGCCAAAATGGAAAAGTTGGCGCAAATAAAAAAAAAAAGAAAGAAAGAAAGAAAAAAAAAGAAAAAAACCCCGCACTGTAAAAACACACAGTATATGCATAAAAATTTCAACAAATGTTATTTCTAAGAATTTTTCACTTTAGAGGCATAAACATTTTAATATTTAACATTTTTTTAAATGGGTCTGTCATTTCCCTTCTCCACATAAATTCTGCAAGACAACTTTTCAGATGATGACATGCTGTTCATCTGACCGTTCTCGTACTGCTCCAGTCACAACTCTTTAATGACTGATTTCCAACTGACTCATTTTCACACCATTTAACTGAACTTGCTTCTTTCCTGCAACCATAGATAAACCTCACACAATTTCGATGACTTGAACCACGTGCTATGTTTGCTGTGACAAATTCAAAGGTTGCAGCGTTGCTGCAATTCGTCTCTGAAATACAATTTCATTTCAGAATTATTATCACAAGTAGCAATCTTAGGCAAAACTTTTTTCACTTGAAAGAATTTGACAGATTCTTCCTCTGTTCTGGGCAAATCTGAAATTTTCATTGATTTTTCTTTCATTTTTGACATATTAGGAAAAGGACATGGCTGATAAAGATAAAAAGTGGCCACAACTTGTTTTGGATATGGGGCAGTAAAAAGCTACCAGCTGGGATATATTGTTTGGCATTGTTTGTATCGGTTTGGGGGACTTTATCGCCTGTGCTGGCGAAATGGAAATGTACCTACAAAGTCAATAAAAAATCATTAAATCTGAAAAATATATATGTAAACACAATATTAAACAGAATATTACAATGCAGGGCATAAATGCAAAATAATGAGAAACAGAAAAGATTTATTGTTTATATGAAAAGTTTCTTTCTCTGAAAATATTTATTTCGAGTATTTTCTTTAATCTTTTTTTAGTCTCTTAGTATAACATGATTCTGCTTGAGACCCACTTTCACTCAAAATCAGTTTGATATTTCTTGTTATCTGCTTTTTAAAGTGTTTCTAAAGTGAGACATGGCATTGTCATTGAAAACATTGATGCTGTAACATGCTTGTCTGAGGTTCGAATCCAGCAAGTGGGTTGGCTGCATGGGCATTTTTATAGTTTTCCCCGTGTGTAACATATATACGAGCCAGTTTCCCTTAGAAATTCTCCATGAAGGCATCCTTCCCTTTGGACAGATAGCTCTCGAGGCTTTGCCATAATAACATATGCCAAACCAAACCTATCAAGGTGGTATCATTATGTAAATCATTTCACCTTATCACTTTTGCCCAAATTTTGTGAATAAAGTTTAATTTTTCTTCTGTCCTCTTACTCCAATACGCTTTTGTTGTTTCTCTTGAATTGATTCGGCTCTTTCTCATTGAACTCTGTTTTATAGACTTGTAGGAAATCTTCACCTTGATTGTTGACCTTCAAGGCAAGGTTTTTTCTGAAGACAGAGTACATAAATAATGAAAACATCATCAGTATCAAAGCCCTTAAAATCTCTACTTGCAGTGTAATATGGTCATAATTTATCTGCTTCCAAATTTATGGTCCTTGCTACCAGGCATTATTAATGAGAGTTGAGCAAAAGAAAATATTAAAATATTGCTTCAAGAAATCTCCAAATGTTAATTCTGTACTGGTGATTGTCTCAAAACAATCTTGAAAATTATTTGTTGCCACCTTTTGTTTCTAACTCAAGAGCAGTTCATTAAAGATTTTTTTTTTTTTTTTTTTTTTTTTTTTTTTGTTGTTGTTGTTCAGATTTACTTTAATTCAGTAAATTTTTATTTAAATCATAGTATGTATTTATATTATATCAATTAAATTATATGTAAAAATCTTAATGCCAAATTGCAACACTGTGGTGGTGTGGTGTATTTAATTATGGCAAAGCACACAAGGGCTATCTGCCTAAAGGGAGGGATGCCTTTCGTGGAGGACTTTCTAAGGGAAACTGGCTCGTATACACGTTACACATGGGGAAAACCACGAAAACGCCCATGCAGCCAGCCCGTTCGCGGGATGCAACACTGTGAGAATTGATTATTTGTGAAGCTGTATGAATGATAAATACATGGGAGTCAGTGTAACACGGTCTACAAACTTTAAAAAGACTACAGTAAAGGTGCTCCTAATGTTAGAGAAATAAAATTTGGAATTATTATACAGTGTGTTTATAGCTTTTAAATCACTTAAAACAATTATAATTTGAAAGATAAAGATCATGTGCTAGGTCAAATAGCAGCACTCTGAAAATTTGCTCTTTGCCAAGTCATGTCAAATAAAATAATATTTTGAGCAGTTGAAGCACTTGCCAGATAAATAACATGGTATCATAATGTAACATAACATCTTAAGAAAACTAGGGAGGTTCACGCATTGATGTTTAGTAGTTTCAAAATACTCCAAACTAATTCATAATAATTGAAAAAGTAAAAATCTGAAAAAGTTAAAAATTGATTAATTTGTCTTCATCTAAGGTGCATTAATTTAAGGCAATAAATTAAAATAAGCCTCTACTTCTGTGATTTATGCAATGAAATAATGCAAAATATAATGTATATAAATTTATCATAAATAGTAACTTTTTAATTGAATAGGAATCTAGAAAACCAAAATATGTTATAGCTGTTTTGCATGTCCACTTGATTAAAATATGCAGTATAAGTAAATGGGAAAAAAAGAATTCATCCAAGGCATAGTCATGTATGTATTTAAAAATACCTACAAAATCTAAGAAATAATTATAAAGAATTGAGATGTTTAGTTACATAATTTTATTTATCATACTTCTCATTCTGTTCTGTTCATTTAATGTAACAAATTTGATCTAAGATGTATCTTATACCCCTCTCTCAAAAAACATTGGCCTTTGTAATTAAGTGTTTAGGTGCAAATCATAATGCAAGTTTCTTAAATTTTTATGACTTTTTAAAATGTGTCCAAATTTAAGGAACGCTTTGTAGATATGAAATATTTCTTAATATAGGCATTGAAAAAACTTTTGAAATACTTGTGTATAATGCATCTTATGATGCTAATTACATTCATTTCTCTGAGAAAGCTATTCCATTATTTTTATGTGTATTTTAAGAAAACTTTTTATGTTTGAAGAATCAATGTTGTGTATTTAATTGCATTTTAAATATTAGTAAGTAATTGGTATTATTTCCTTTTTTATGAATTGCTAATTTTTTTTTTATTATGGTTGTTTCCATTTAAATACTCTTTGCAACGAAACTGATGGTTATGAAATCAACTGAATTTTTTTTTTTTTTTTTTTTTTTTTTTTACCTCTTAATTCCTGATGTATGCTTCAAAGAATGTTTTTGCATACATAATTTAGTTTTAGTTTACAGTATTTATTGATTAGTTTCTTTATGAAGCATTTCTATTAAAGTTACACTTTTGCAACAGATAATTATAAACTTTTTCAAAGAATAATTTCATTTACATTTGTTTTTTCATGTTTTTGGGGTTATACATACTTAATTTATAAATGTTCAATTAATATTTAAAAATTTTCATTCATTACGATTTTTTTATCTATAACCATTTGTATTGTTTTTATTTTCATGCTAGATGCTAGTCGAAAGAGGTACAGTCGAGTAATTCAATATAATGGTGATGGACAGACTAGTTATGCCAAAGCACTTTACAATTATGAGCCAACTGGGGATCATCAACTAGCGCTAAGGGAGGGCGATATTATAGAATATATTACTGAAGAAAATACAACTGGCTGGCAATTTGGAGACAATTTAACAACTGGAAGGTATTTTATCATATATTATAGTTGGACAAATCTTTATGTTTCATACTGTAAAGTCTAAATCAGAAATTCAGACTTTTAGTTTTATTTGGATGCTTAGATTAAAAGATCTTTAATGAAAGACCATAGAAAGTACTTTTTTGAGAACCTACTCTCTAAATAAGGAAAACATATCACCACTAGAACTGAAGTATCTGATTTATAAATATTTTCCCTTCCCACATGCACCGAGATGAGTAGATGTCAAAACTGTCAAAATCACATTACTGTACAGATTTGTAATATAATAATTTGCATGTTAGCTGTGAGAAACATTAAAATTACATATAAATACCAGGAATAAAGAGGTGTAGCAAATTGCCTTGAAATTTTATAGTTTCTTCATTTTGAATTTTACTAGATTTTTCAATAGAAATATACTTTGTGGTAATGCTATCTTTGTAATTGTTTATTACTCATGCATTCTTGATACTTAAGATGCTTTTATAAGTTTTGATTTATTTTCATAAGCTCATTTTGTAACATATTTCAGTGAATGCATGTTATGGCAGTTATTTCATTGCTCATGTATCATTTAAGAAAACTGTACTGCATATGCTGGAAAAATTCTGTTCTTATGATTGGTCACAATGCAAATGATGTCTAGATGTTAAGTTACATGACTGACATTTGCATGTAATATTTTCATCAATTTCTTTTCACTCTGTAATTATGTCTAATAAAAAATCTTACATGCCCTTTTTTGAAGATGACAATTCTGTTTTATGGACTAACATAATTATACGGAAGGTCATAATGTAATCATTAAGCAACAATATGCTTGATGCATTGTTATAAAAATTCATCAGTTCCCATTAATAGTAAATGCTTTTATTCTGTAGAGTGTGGGAAAAAAATCACCCCCACCAGAAAAATTATTGCTTGTAATCATGTAGAAATTGCCTGATAAATTATTTCAGAAATTCCAAATGCATTAAATATTAATACTGTACTTTAAATTTTCCAAAAGTTAATGCATACTGTATACAATTTTTAATTTCTTTTCACTCAATAATAATACTTATTTTCTCTCTATATATACATGTTTTAAAAGAAAATTATAAATATATATTCTTGAAAAAGATATATTAATATACTTCGAAATAAAATTTGTTAATTGCACGTTTTAACTCTTCTCTCAATGCTGTGTTATCTAAAATGAAAAAAAAAGTGTGAAATTTCACTTCAATTTAAGTATTCATGTATGAAAAATTTTTTTTCTTTCTTGATAAATGCCAACTGTTTTTGTAAAAGACACAAAATAGTCGTACATTTTTTTTTTAATGTAGGATATTGGACAATTCATTCTCATGTATCCTTATTTCTAAGTTCCATATTTTCAAAATTTAATCTTAAAACAGATTTTTTTTCTTGGGCCAGATTCCCAACAACTTTAATTTTTGTGAAAATTGATATTATCTGATGCTTTTGGAATAATATTTGTATAGTATAAATATATAATTTGTATGAAATATCGAAGAATAGTAACCCTATGTTTACCTGTATGGTTTTAATTCCTTAAGATTTCTTTGATGACTTATATTGTTGTGAACTTCGACTGAATTCATCATTAATAAATATTTATGGAATTAGCAAACATGTGGCCACTGTAATCATCATCCTCTTCCCAAAAAATGTTGCATCATTCGTATTAAATTCACCACTTATCACTGTAGTTATTCTCAAAGTAACACACAAATCATGCTTCATTGCTAATAATAGTTTTTTTATTATATATATATATAATTCTTAGATCATAATACAGTGTTCAAAACTAAATATAAACAAACAGTACATCAGTGTTGCATCAAACCGAAACAGCACGAAAGCATTATCTACCAACGGAGAAATGATATCATCAAAAAAACATATCCAGTCATGAGGATTAATTTGATTTTCCCCAGTATTCGCTACATGATGTGGTTCACTTAGGTGCACACAAGCATTGTGGTTTTCTCTGACTTTTTCTCTGAGGCTCTATTGTTTTCGTTTTGCGTCAGATCGCTCTGAATGTCCGTTTCACTTTTCATACTGTTGCCACCAAATATTATCGCCCTGTATTATATTTGAAGAAATTAAATAATGAAGAATCCTGCTGCAAATATGGGCATCTGGAAGCCCAAATTTAAAATTTGGAATTTGATTTATTACAGATTTCATATATTGTAAAACTTTTATCAAATTTTTTATTAACAAACTCAATGATTTCAAAGGGAGCAGTGGCAATATTGTATATAAAAACCATTTTTATCTCCTGTGCATGAGACTGTATCGTAAAGTCTAAAGATATGCTGAATTTAAAATTATTTTGCGATACTGCTGTTGAGTTGAATTTTATGGTTTAAGTGCAAAGAACATGATATTTAATAAATAAAGGTAACACACACAGCTCCCTTTTGGACGTATTTGTAAATCTGAAACTTTTCAGATTTTCTTTTATTTTTCTCTTTTGAAGTGTTATTGCAGTAGTGTCATGCAGTAGATTTAGAAAAGCACAACCAAATTAGAGCTTTCCTTTTCATGAAAAATTAATTGTATGCATTGAGTGAAAAAAATGTGATTTTTTTTTTTTTTTTTTTTTTTTTTTTTTTAATGGCAAAAAAATGTTAAATTGTTTTTTTTCCTGTGGAGAATAATTTGTAGCTTTGCATAACTGTGCCTACATTTTAATGATTCAAGTGTGAGGACTAGCATTTGCAGTAGCTGTGATGCTTCAGGTTAACTTCTCTAAAAGTATCCCATTTTTATAATAAGGCCTCTGTCTGATGCAAATTCAAAAATTTTTACAAAGGTGTGAATAACTACATACGTTAATTATAGCATTCTATAAGTAATCATTTTACATTACTTTTAATTTTTTCTTTATGATATGTATGGAACTATGCCTGAAGTATCGAAAGTCAGGCAATGAAAATCTAATAGCAGGCTATTTTTTTCAAGCCCATGAGAGTGAGCAACACATTTATTCATGGATTCGGAAAATTTCTGAACTCTTCTGCGATAATTTCTGTCTGCACAATTGACAGTGTAGCCTGTAATTTTTCCATAGTATGGTGAAAATTTCATAGATTATGTCTTAGAACTTTTGTATTAGGTTTGTATCAAGTCAGTTCGGAGGCCAACTCATTGTGTTAGAGAAATATTCTTCCATATGTTTTCTGGCCTCAAGGACTTCTAGCATTAATTTATTTGAAAAAGTCTTCAAGTTTCAAAAGTTCTTCATAATTCTGAGGAGGAGATATGAAGAGATAAAAATGATTTGCAAGAATGTTCCCACAATGCACAGCAATCAGTGATTGCTTCAAATAGTTCATAAAGCCAGTATGTAACTCATGAGCATGCTACCACCAAGAACTGTCACTAGCCTACATTGCAAAAAGAAAGAGTCGGTAGTTTCATGGTACTTATACACCCTGTAGTGGCCTGACAGTGTAAAGCATTTGAAATATTGCTCGTTAAACAATAATACCTGACTACATTGTTTTGGTCCATTGTTGATATTATTTATTGCATTTGAAATTAAACCCTTGACTACCAAATCTGAAGGAAGGCATGTAGCAGTAGGCAGTCCTTGAAAAAACATATTATGATTCATCCACACTAAAATTTTCACTGACATCATGTAATATTGACTTTTCAGTAATATTTTATGGCAACTCATGATAGCTGAAGAGAGCTTTGGATTTAATCCCAAATACGATCAATTCACTAGCTAATGTGTTTTTATGTCATCTTACAACAATGAGCCAGCCTACCAGCGGCCGAGCGGTAAAGTCGCTGAACGCTAGTAGTTCGGTCCGAGGTTCGAACCCCGTAAACGGGCTGGCTGCATGGGTTTTTTCGTGGTTTTCCCCATGTGTAATGTGTATACGAGCCAGTTTCTCTTGGAAAGTCCTCCATGAAGGCATCCCTCCTCTTAGGCAGATAGCCCTCGAGGCTTTGACATAATTAAATAACCTAACCTAACCATACAACAATGCTGATTAGCTGTTCATGTCCTGGATCTTGTAAAACAGAGTTCTTGCACAGATTTCTAATATTTCTAAAATCCATGTCTTTGATAATGGTAATTATGACACTCATAATTTATGGTGTGCAGCCATGCCGAATGAACAGCTGTTCTGAATTTCTAATAAGCTACCTGCTGCCGGACCTCCTGAAAGGGAGAGATATGCGTATAGTGAGTTTCAGCGGGAAAATGCAGTCAGCCTCTTGGTTACCTGTTAAGTATTTAGTTTTAATTTATAAGTGTAAAAAACTACTTTTTTTCAAGTTTGTTATTTATCAACTACGTGTGTATTCTTTGAGTTTTGGAAAGGAGGGGGAAATCACCAAATAGATGCATGATGCAACTATTTAGCTACTAGTCTTATTACTTTTGATTTCTCGCTACATTAGTTTAAATATTTTAGTTAAGAGGCATATATGTTGTGTGCATTTTTGAAAAAAAAAAAAAATATTTTTAATAAATGTTAATCATTTATAATTACAGATCAGGATGGTTTCCAGTATCCTACACAGAACCTGTAAAAGATCCTTCAAGATATCTATTGTGAGTATTGCATTTTCAATGATTTCTACTTTTGATAAATTTTATAAATATTTATCTACCCAACTAATTGGTTCTTAATTTTCATTATTTTTGTGTAATCTTTTGAATGCTGTAAATAATTTTTTTAAATTCTTTTCTATAATTTCCTCTGGATTTTTTTTTTTTTAATATATATCCAAATTCTGGCTGCAGTTGCTCATTATTTGCAGTTTTTTTCTCTTAGGGGCTACCTGCAGTGTAGCTACCAAAATGTGAACCAGGTCTGGCCCATCCAATCTGGCCCAAAGGGTGATTTCAATGGCCATTGAACCTGGTCCACTCCAACCACAAACGAGAGCGGCCACTGAGCCGACCATGCCCCAAACAAGCCCAGAGAAGCCAAAACCCAGAATCCGAGTAACTAAAAACGCTAGTTAACAGAAATCATAGAAATAAAAATAAGACGGTAGTCTTTTACAATACTGCCTCTTAACAGCACAAAAGGAAAGCTAGAAGAACAAAAATAATTAAACAAATAAAATTAGTGTTAATAAAACTAAACATAAAATAAGGAATGAGTACATAACACAACATATAAACACATAAATGGTTGCAAACTGAATGAAGAACACCAACAGCAACACAGAAAATGACAAAGGACAAACCTCAAACGTAAATAACCCACTGCCAGTTGCTTATTGTTTAAAACCCTAACAATATCTTGACGAAAACTACGAAATTCATTAAAACTATCTAGAGCATTATTCCAACTAATTTTATATTGTGATCTTATTTGTGAAAAAAGGAGAGTCTTTGAGAATGTGATGCGTGTCACCAACTTCATTACATATCAAACACATGGTATTTGTTTGAATATTAAATCTAGCGAGATAGCCCGGGAAGCGCCCGTGACCAGTCAGGAATTGATTAATATGTATATTAGAAATAGGTAATCATTTTTTATGTTTTTGTAAATGAAAATGGGCTAAATAGTTTTTTCTTTTATCTGAAATTGACCAAGAATCATTCCATTTAGAAAAATAATATTTATAAATATTAGTACATACAATTCTTTTTGAAGCTTGGGCACAGGCAGTTCCCGTGCGATCTCCCAGAGCAGCATCCTTAGTGAGGACATCAACCCTCTCATTCCCCATATAACCACAATGTGTCTTAATCCAATTCAAATATATATTATGTTTCCTAATTATAATTTATAAATTTTAAAGTCATAAATTAAAATATTATTGGAATCTGCCACACCCAACGCCTCCAACGATGACATGTAGAAATCATGTTTGTCAGGAAACTTTTGTTTATTAACCCATTTTATAGAAAATAGGAGGGCAGTGAGCTCTACTTGAAAGACTGAGTTATATTGATCAAGTTTAATCTTCTCACTATAAATTTCAATTCCAAAATAAAATACAACAAAAGCAGAGCCCATGCCCCCCTCAATACAAGAACCTTCCATATAAATTTCAAATTCTCTAATATCATCATAATAAACACCATATGGAATAATGAACCTATCACTTGGATGTACAAGATTATAATTAAATTTAGCAAAAGCTGATAAAAATCAAGTATATCCATTATCATAGCTAAGAAAATCAATTAAACCATTTCGTAAACGTGCTTTATCATAATAGTATTGATAGAGGATGGAGAGTGGTGGTATTCCCGCCAAAACGCACATCAATTCATTAGATTCTATAGGAAACTATGAATAAGCAATATCAGCCAGCTCTGTTGGACCAAGTCCAGCTTCATTCTTAGTCTAATGAGCTCTCCAGCCCTGGAGCCCCATGCACAAATTCCATACATAATAATTGGTAAAAAGAAATTTTTATAAAGAGATTTCAATATATCAATTTTAAGAGATAAAATTCGAAATGAGAACTTATTTACAGAAAATCTCAAAAAACCATCGCATCTCTTCTAGATACAATTAAAATGATCAATAAAATTCAATTTTTCATTAATACAAATTCTCAAGTATTTAAGACTTCGAACAGTTTTTTTAATTTTTACCTTTCAGACGAAATTTTGGGGAACGAACATGGCGACCCGCTTTTGGAAAGAACAGAAATTGTGTTTTTGACTCATCAATCAGCATTTTTTCTCTCTCACACCAGTTATCCAAAGTAGTTAAGAACATATCAAATTTAATTTCCATTTTTTTCAAGGGAATCTGCATGTAACAAAATGGTGTGCACTTGATTCCTGATGTCCTTTGTACCAATTAAAGTGATTCCTCTTTTGTTTTGATGGCATAGAGACCTTTTTCATTAAGCCTTCTCCATACAGTCTGAAGTGATGCAGCCAACAATTCCATTGGTACCTCCAAGCTCTGAAATGTATACTGGCATTTATTGTCAGATATTAGCCCTGAGAAGCAGTTGTTATTCATTTACAACTTTGTATACCAGCTTCCTTATGGCAAATTCAGAGTTCTGAAATTGTTTCCATAGTGCAGAGACCATCTGTCACACGTTTGATTGCTTTCTTGTTTTCTGTCCTGCTTCTAAATGGCTGATGATTCGTCACTTCACAGGTTCTTCGAAATAATACTTTGGAGCCAAGAAATCCATACTGAATCCTTATACACTGAAATCAAATGCTATATTGGAGAAATTCACTCAGGTACTCACTTTGTGCAGAACACTTTATATACCTTTTGTTGAAAAATAAATAAGAGGGGGGTGTATATCAGATTGGGTAAGGTTTATTTAAGATAATAAAAAAGATGCAAACAAGGATCTAGATAACATCAGGGACCTAAAGAACTGCATAATAAAATGCAGCCAACAACAATTACAACTAGTCTGAACTAACTGACTGTGTCCTTATTTATACTTGTACGTGAATAAACTGGCTTTATAAGATTGGGGACTTGGAAGTGAGTTGGACATGTTTTACATGCTGTTTTGTCAACTGAAAGAAAGCTATAGAATTCGAAATGGAGTGTGTAATTACTTAGCTTTTACATTCTACAATATGTGAATCTTGGATCAAAAAGTATGTAAGCAGGCTCAGACTGGTCGAAGAAATGGGAAGATTGTAAAGTTGTTGATAAGTGCAAAATGCATTTATCATGAACTGTTGATGGGTTGTATGGAGAGGTTCCAATACACCTTAATTGTGAAGTTGTTGATAAGTGCAAAATGCATTTATCATGAACTGTTGATGGTTGTATAGAGATAGAATACACCTTAATAAGGCATGATCTTTCTATGGAATCAACAATAATTCTCTTGTTTGTTGGCAATTCCGGTGTATTTCTCTACAAATTCCAATTAATTATTACCACAAAAGCACACATTTGCTTTCTAAATGTTGCTTAAATTTCCTAGAAAATAATTTTCATATATATTCTGTATATTTTTAATTAATATTATCTTTGCAGGCAATAGTGCAGAATTAAATTTTAAAATTAAAAGTTTTTTTATTCTTCCTATATTGTACCACGGTGTAGTTTGGTACATTTATATTTACCGTATTGGCAACACCAAGCTCTCTTCTCTGTGTGCGAGCTATGGATGCCGATGTAATGTTGTGCACGTGTTGTTAAGTTTCAATAAAAAATGTGAAAAGATACGTTTCTTATTTTTCGACTTGCTTCTTCATATGATATCGATTTATTTAACATGGTAGCAGTTCTCGTGGTTTGTGAATATGAATGAAGAATTTAGTAGTTATAATTTGTTTTAAAAGTTACCGGTACTAGCGTAAAAATGGCATGTACAAGAAGCAGCGATATCGGCATACCGCTATTTGATGGTTCGGACTATTTTAATTGGAAAGTGCGTATGATGAAATTTCTTCAATTTAAAAAGTGTAAAGATGTGGTTCAGCGAAAAGTCAGTGAAAATGATGACGTGGAAAAATGGGAAGAAAAGGATATCCAAGCTACAAATTACATTTACGGCGCCATAACAAACAAGCAATTGGAATATATTCACGAGTGTGAGACTGCATTTGATATAATTACGAAATTTGATGCAATGTATTTAAAAACTTCAACATCTCTACAAATTGTTTGTTGAAATAACTTAGAATGTGTTAAACTGAAAAATTATCCTGATGTAAATATATTTTTCGATGATTTTGAGAAGTATGTGAACGAACTGAAACATGCCGGCGCCACCGTGACGGAACAAGAAAAATTGAACTATATGCTAAGAGCATTACCTTCAAATTACAGTCACATTGGTGACTTAATAGATATATTACCAGAGAAGGACAGAACAGTCGATTACCTAAAGAGCAAAATCAAATCAAAATTACTTGAAGAGAAAAATGATTATGAAGATTGTGCACCAGCAGAAAAATCAAATGCGTTCAAAATTGAAACAAGCAAATCGGGCCCACAAGGGAATGTCTGTTTTAACTGTGGAAAACCTGGTCACATTAAAAAGAATTGTTGGCATGTCCATCAAAGGAACTATCGTTGTAATGGCTCCACTAATTATCGCGGTCGAAGTTCTTCAAACAATCGAGGACGTAGTCGTGCTTTTAGTGGACATCGTGAACGTGGAACATACTCTAATCAGAGAATAAACACTCATCAAGGCAATAGTTTTCACACCACTGTTATCGAAAGTAACATGACAAGTTCCAGTGCAAATATTGTGACAAATAAAAATGAAATCAATTGGTTACTGGATAGCGGATGCACAGACCACATTATAAACAGTGATGAATATTTCAAAGAGCAAGTCACTTTGAAGGATCCTATTCAAGTGAAAGTCGGTGACGGAAGGATTTTGAAAGCTACAAAGTTGGCAATATAATAGTTTCTTTTCCTGTATATAACTCTGAATCTATTCGTAACATTGAAGAATGTATTTTATGTAAAAGAAATGAAAGCAAATTTATTAAGTTATTCGAAGATTACTGATAATCATAAAATAGTTTCAAAAGAAAAGTTTTCTAAAATATATGATGTCAATGGTTCATTAGTAGCAGTAGCAAAGAAAGAAGAAAGATTATATAAAGTAAAGAGTTATGTTAAAAATAGTAAAATATTTGCAAATTTGACCAACAATAAGTTAACGTTAAAAGAAAAATTGCACCGTTCATTTGGACATGTAAATTTTAAATATCTGGATATTATGTGCAAAGATCAGCTATTAGAAGGAATCCCTAAAGAAATAGAAACCGAATATATGAAGTGTGCCATATGTATTGAAAATAAAATGCACAATTTACCATTCAAGAATAATAGAAGAAAAGCAGAAGATATTCTGGAGATTATACATACAGATGTAAATGGACCTCACAGAACAATTGGATGTAATGGTGAGAAATACTTTGTGAGTTTTATTGATGATTATAGCAAGTTGGCAAAAATTTATTGTATCAAATCTAAGGATCAAGTCTCTGATTGCTTAATTGAATATGTAAATGAAATTCAAAATTTAACAGGGAAGACTATCAAAGAACTAAGATGTGATAATGGTAGTGAATATATGAATAGCAAGATATACAAATTTGCAAGAGAAAAAGGTTTCAAGATAAAGTCATGCCCACCATATGTACACGAATTAAATGGTACTGCTGAGCGTTACAACAGAACTATAATGGATATGGCAAGATGTCTTTTAGCCGAAGCAAAAGTTGACAGACGTTACTGGCCTGAAGTAATTAAAGCTGCTGCTTATTTGAAAAAACAGGACATTAACAAATACTATTGTAAAGAAGACACCATATGAAATATTTTTCAATAGGAAACCATCTGCTAATGAATTGAAATTATACGGAAGTAGAGTGTATGTAAGAATACCAGAAGAAAAGAGAAAGTCGAAGTGGGATAAAAAGGCTGAATTTGGAATTTTACTTGGGTATACAGAAGTTGGATATAGAGTTTTGATGAATAACAGAATAATAGTTGCCAGGACATGTTGATATTATTGAAGAAGACATAATGTGTGTAGGTTGTGATGATGAAGATAAGAATGATGATACAAATAAGAAGAATGAACCTCAAGAAGTGTCGTGTGAATCGAGTAATGATAACTCCAAGGACAGTGTGATAAATGAAGATGAAACAAAAAGTGGAATGAGACCAAGAAGGCAAATCAAACCACCAGTTCGATTTCATGAAGAATTCGGGTTACGGGTACTACTGTGTTAGTGCAAATTTTTGTGATGCTACAGTTCCAGGTAACTTTGAGGAGGCGACAACATGCAGTGAGGCTGGACATTGGAAAGAGGCAATGGACAGTGAAATGAACAGTCTTGTTAAAAATAACACTTGGACACTAGTGACTAAACCAGAGGATAAAGCAATTCTAGATGTGAAGTGGGTATTCAAAAGAAAACCAGGTAATGTTTTTTAAAGCTAGATTAGTGGTTCGAGGTTTTCAGCAAAAAGATAGTATTGAGGACACTTACTCCCCTGTCATCAAGATGCAAACCTTAAAATTGTTACTTTCATATTCCTGTCAGTATAATTTAAATATTCATCAAATGGATGTTGAGACTGCCTTTTTAAATGGTTATGTTGTGTCTGAGGTTTATGTTAAACAAGCCACAAGGCTATAATGATAATTCGAATAGAGTGTATAAATTAAAGAAAGAAAGCACTATATGGGTTGAAAGAAAGCCCTCGTGCTTGGTATGAGTGCTTTAACGAGTATATTGAGAGTCTAGGATTTCGTAGAAGTAAATATGATTATTGTCTTTATGTAAAATCTGAAAATGATGTATTTGTATATATTCTTTTATTTGTTGATGATTTGTTGATATGTTGCAGAGATACTCGGGTAATTAATGATATTAAGGAACAACTACATAAAAATTTAAAATGAAGGATTTAAATAAAGTAAAAAGCTACATTGGAATTGATATTGAATATGATAATGAGAAAAGTAATATCTTAACACTGAGTCAGGAAAATTATATTGAATCTTTAGCTAAACTGTATGGTATTAAAAATTCAAAGCTTTATGATACACCAATGGAGACTAATCTTAAACTAAGCCAATCTAATTTAAATCAAAATGTCAAATATAGAAATCTAATAGGAGCACTCTTGTATATTAGTCATGGTACTAGACCAGACATATCTTTCAGCGTAAATTATTTAAGTAGATTTCAAAATTGTTATGATGAGACACATTTCAAATATGCTTTGAGAGTTTTAAAGTATTTGTACTTAACAAAACATCTAAAATTAACCTATAGTAAAAATCTTAAAACTGATATTATGAATTGTTATGTTGATGCTGATTGGGCAGGTGATATTGTTGACAGAAAGTCAACTACTGGGTTTGTTATTGAATTATTTGGTAATCCAATTTACTGGAAATCCAAAAAAAGCAAAATTGTGTGACAAAATCTTCCACTTTTGCCGAATATATTGCTCTATCTGAGGCTGTGACAGAAATTAATTTCTTGAAAAATGTTGTGAATGATGTTTTTGCTGATATAACTCACCCCATTAAAATTTATGAAGATAATTCAGGAGCTTTGGCCATTGCTAATTATGGGAACTTCACTAAAAATTCAAAACACATAGAAGTTCAATATCATTATGTTCACGAAAATGTTCAAAATGGAGTAATTGAGTAATTGAAATTGTAAAGATTGATTCAGAATCAAATATTGCAGATATCTTTACTAAGTCTTTAGGAAAGATTAAATTTATGAAATTTAGAGAAGGTTTGAAATTGAAATAAATTTTGTATACTGTTTATTTAAGTGATGTTTATTTAATATATTTTGCTTGAAATGAAATAGATTTTGGTAATGTCCTTATGTAAACTAAATTGTGTTTAACTTTGATTTTAACATTTAAGTTAATGAAAGAAACTTTTTTTAAAAATAATTTGTGTTAAGTGTTGAATGTTATGTTGTTTATATCTATGCTTAATTGTAAATGGTAAAGATGAAAAGATTGCTTATATCTATGTTTGTTTGTAATTAGTAAATATAAATGTAAGGAGGCGTGTTAGTTTGGTACATTTATATTTACCGTATTGGCAACACCAAGTTCTCTCTTCTCTGTGTGCGAGCTATGGATGCCGATGTAATGTTGTGCACGTGTTGTTAAGTTTCAATAAAAAATGTGAAAAGATACGTTTCTTATTTTTCGATTTGCTCTTCATATGATATCGATTTATTTAACAGTAATTAAAAACTTATAGCCTTAAAAAGTTTAAGGAGTTGAGCTGTATCATTTCGTTTGGATTATTTATTGGAGGAATTTAAAAGGCTTTAGATATTATTTTTTATTGCTAATAGGGATATAATGGTTAACAACTGTATTTGGTTAAAACTGTGTTGTATTCACTGAGAATTAGTTGTTGGGAAGAGAGTTCGGAAGTTTTCTAATAAATTTTATGTGAATTGTGAATATGTGAAATTGCTTTACACTCATATATTTATCTCAAGTTGAGGTTGCATTGTATTATTATTAGTTCTATAGATCATTGTAATCATATGATAATGATCATTGTAATTATTAGCTAAATATATGTATTGAACAAGCTGTTAAAATTTGATTGCTGTTATTGATGAAAAGTTATTAATTTTCTTAGGAATGGAGGCTGTCCAAATGTAAATCCACCACCTCCTCCACCTGCCACTATAGGATCAGTGAGGTCAAAACTGAGTAATCCACAGGTAATTTCCTCTGTAACATCTTATACAGACCATATATTGAATACCTGAATAATTAGCATATATTTCTGAAATGTAAAAAGAACAAGCTGCTTAAAATTCAGAAGTTCACCTCACAAGGATGTTTGGAAGTTCATAGATTGAATCAGTACTGTTTGACTCACAAGTTTCATTAGAAGTACCATCTTCAAAAATTAATTTATTATTAAATTTTCTATTCTTTGCCTTTTAAAAGCTGTAATACTAGTTTTTATATCCTTAATTTATAACTGTTTGTGAGAAAAAAAATATTTATCGGAAAATTACTTATTCTTTGATTGCAGAGTGTATTAAAATATTAAAAGATATGTCAACTTCCTGAAATCAAAATATATGAAGCTTAATTTTAGGGTACTATAGAACATTATTTTTTAAATACTAAGCAAATGAGAATAGTACCCAAGTAATTGTTCTTTTTGCTGCTGCTGAGTTTTTAGTGCATTCTGGGTTACTTCAACATTTATTTTTATCCAGTGAAATGCTTTTCATTTGAGCAAATATCTATCCATTCATGGGGAGACTGAATAAAATTATTTAATGCATGCGATTTATTGGGAATAATATTTAACATATTCATTTTCTCAGCATAAAAGGAAAAAATTGATCATGGATCCTTATTTTATTCACAAAATGCGAATCCATTCCTTTTTGTTATCTAGGAATCTGTGTGTTGCGTAGTTTTCTTAAGCATCCCCTTCACTTCTAGTGTCTTTTCTTCCAGTGCTTTTCATGATGATTTTTATAATCCATTACTGCTGTTTTGACTTGTTTGTCATGTTTCAATGAACTTGTCTGAAAAGATTATATTGGACAGTAGTGTGACATTCATTGACATACTGGCAGGAAAAAAGCCATTTTCAAATTTCTTTCACTCAATTTAAATTAGATTAAAAATTTCCAGGGTAGAAAAGAGTAAATCATTTCAAATATTGTTAATTTAACAGTAAAATTAGGATCCAAGTCCATCCTATGGATGGTGCAGAATATTTTAGGTCATTAATGCGAAGAATTTTATAATAATGTTTATTGCCTAAGAATTTTACAGACATCTACTAACGAAGATTTCCATTTAAATGGTATAAACTCAACATGTTGTTTAAAGAAACTGGTTAGTTATGTTTTACTGGCAGCGACTCTGTGGAGAACTCTTTATTATTATTTGTCCACTGATCCAAAAGAGGGCGCTGCCAGCTTTCTCTCTCTCGTCCTGTAGGAGAAAATTCGGACTGCTCCCTCATTCTGTTCCTGATGGCCGTCAGTGAAGCACGAGCTCACCTCTCTTCTGCCTCGTGTTGTCTGCATAGCAGATATTACGACTTTCATGCCTTTTTGCTTTTACTACCTATAAAATGCGTATGTTGTATGATCTGCATCCAATGTTATTTTGTGACTAGTGAACATATGTATCCTTTCTTGCTTTTATAGAAATGATAATGTCACTGATCCAAGTTATCATCATTTTATCTGCATCAACAACACACGTCACCAAAACTGGCATCCATAATTTATGACCATAACTTGACATGTGGTAATTATACACAGAGATGGATTAACCATTAACCCCTTGAGGACCTGTGCACAGAAAAAAAAGTACAGCCACAGAACCTAACCCCCCCCCCAAATGGAATGTCGCCACCGGCCCATGCATTTTGAGCAGTTAAGCCTACTTTTACAAAAAAATTCATATAAAATCAGCATTTTAATATAATGACTTCAATTTTTGAATTTACGTTCTTAATATGTATTATAATATAAATAATATCACATTAATGGAAATTAATCAAACATGCAAGATACTAAAATTATAACTATATGCATGAAAACAAATACTATACACATGAAATCAAAATTACAAATGCCAAATGTAAAAGAAAATTAGGCAATAATTAAATTAGGTAATTAAATTCCAATTTAATAATTTTGTTGTGTGTGGAGTAATTCAAAACACAGGACAATGGTGGCTTTATTCGCCGAGCATATGCAGAGCAAGTAAGATGCATCACACATCGGGAAAGCTGATGTCTTTTCCCTTCTGTAATCATGCTGTAAAGTCAACTGGTTTTAATTAACGATGAAAGGTCTATGTTAAGTTTTAAAATAAATATAAAAAAGGACAACTTGTAGAGACATTAGGTATTTTTGGAAATAGAAGAGATGAAAAATATGCAATGCCTTCGCCGGGAATCGAACCGCAGACCTCTGGAGTACCGGCCCAGCGTGCAAACCACTACACCATGAAGGCACGCTAGGAAAGCGGAATAAATACCTTATATACTCCCCTTTTTATAGGGTAACTGAGGTTTTTAGGGGACCCAGTCACCAAATCCTGGGTCTGGAGAATCCTCATTCAAACACCCTTTTAGTTTGGGTGCAACTGTAGAGACATTAGGTATTTTTGGGAGCAGGATAGATGAAAAATTAACAAACGCATTCGCCGGGAATCGAATCACAGACCTCTGAAATACTGGCTCAGTGCGTTGACCACTACATCACGAAGGCACGTTAGGGAAGGCCCTTTTAAAGGGCGACTGAGGTTTTTAGGGGACCTAGTCACCAAATCCTGGGTGCAGAGAATCATCATCCAACACCCTTTTAGTTTGGGCGCCACTGTAGAGATATTAGGTATTTTTTGGAAGCAGGTAAGATGAAAAATTGAGCAAATGCCTTTGCTGGGAAACGAATCATGAACCTGTGGAATACAGGCCCAGCATGCAGAACCACTGCACCACGAAGGAATGCTAGGAAGGGTGGAGAATTTTCCATCATGGAAAATTAACCTTTTAACTGTCAAGTTATTTTGATGATTTGAGTGCATAAATTGTCAATTTTTTCTTATTCCAAAAATGAAAATTTGCCTCGCAGTCAAAAAAAAAAAAAAAAAAAAAAAAAAGCTGCGCACTTTGAACTTTAACCGCTATCCTTTAAAACATTCAGTAAAGTCCTGCCATCTGTTGAATTGAAGCCGAAATAAACTTCTCACGATATAAATTCGGGTATAACAATACGATGAACTCAAAAAAAATTAGCCCGAGTAATGTTCGGGCTTGACATTTTGGAATACCAGTGCTGTGTCTGAGGTTATTTCGGGCATGACAGTTAATAGATTAAAACATTGAGCTTGATGCATGTCCCCACATTCTAATAATGAAAAACGAAAAGAATAAAAACAAAGACAACATACACACACACACACACACACACACACACACACACACACAAAAAAAAAAAAAAAAAAAAAAAAAAATTCATAACGAAATAAGCTCGTTGGTGTCCCTTTAACTTTAAGAGCTTTGATTCCCAGTGTGTATGCACCAAAACAATCTATTAAAACCAGAAGCGATCATACATGAAGATCAAAAGCCACATGACTTAACCCATGTGAAAGCTGTTAACATTTAGCACCATCTACTGGCATTTAAAAATGGGGGGGGGGAATCATTCCATTGTCAAGTTACGCATATGGGGATGCTGGGCTGAAGAGGTTGATTGGAGCACTTCACGTACAAGTGATGCTTTGCTGGTAAGAGTGGAATTATTGCCTCACATGTAATGCTACGTAAGTCCTGAATGCGTTAAGCAGTATAAGCTTGTGCTTAGGGCGTCAAAGGAAAGGAGCACTAAAAGAAGGTCCTTAGATATTCAAGAAAGGAGGCACCAGAAGATTTTCCATAGTCTGTTCTACTATGGAATGTATGGTGCAACTAAACTAAAACAGATAGAGAGGAGTGAAGAAAACACTGCTGTAAAGATACATATCGGGGGACCCAAATCTTTTTAGTGCTTAGGGCATTTAATCCAACACTAGACATTGAAATTGTATACCTTATGTACTTCCATTAAGATAATTTTAGGAGATTATGTATGTGCCACCCATCTGCCAGACAGTATAATAATCATGCAGCCACTGACTTCTTCCAGTCTTTCATCTCATCTTCCTGTCACCTGATAGATAATGGAAGCTTTTTTATTTTTATTTATTTATTTATTTATAAATTTTAAGGGATATGTTTACAGCAACAAATTAAATTTATTGAGCGATTGAAACTTATATTGTGCAGCTTCCTTCTCCACCCCTACTGATTTTTACCATACTCATTAAATTTATTTTATTTGAACTGTCTTAGTATGTAGAGTTTGTAGAACTTTTTATAAAGATTCAACCAGCGTTTAAATCAGTAATATTTGTATTTAATTTAGTTTTACATGAATAAATGATATGTTACTAAGTTTATCTACGTGATAGAATGTTTAAAAATTATTAGTTATATTTTCATTGTATTTAAAAGTATTGATAAATAAAACCTATTCTAATTATGAAAATGTTAGAATAAAATTTAAATTAAATTAGCTAATAAACATAAAACTTAGAATACCTAATTAAATATTGATACATATGCATTATAATGTGAATTTAATTCACTTTGGTGTTCTTTTGAAATGGCGTCACTGTGCAGCAGGATTTTGTACAAAAACCTCGCGATTTTTTCATATGTCATAATGGATATCTATGGGAACCTCAATGGTTCTTTTATTTTAAAAATTCCTTTATATTAAATATGCAAAAGTATTTAATTTTTAGTGATCTTGTATTTTTTATGTGTGAATTCATGTAATGTAATGAATTTATTATAATTATTTTACTACAGGAAGGGAGTGAGTATGCAACACTAACTCGTTCAACAAAAAAACTCCTTCCAGTTGATCCCCCAATAGTTAGTACTTCTGTTATTGAAAATGGAACATTGAAATCCAAGCATTATGCATCTCATCCTGATATTTATGCAGCAGCATCATCTTCTATAGGCCAAAGCAATGGAAAAGTATACCATAATGGGCAATACCTGCCTTCTATGCGATTATAGATAGATTATCATCTTTTCTAATATATGATGAATTAATTACTTAATATCTGATAATTCTGTATGTTTCTGTAAATATGATTTTAACATATAATATAAATTTTGTATGATTTTCTCTGGTCTGTTCTTGTATTAGCCAAGAGACTGAAAAGTTTTTAAATATAAATATATGTATATAGTGTAATAATGGAGATGTACTGATTTTTTGAATGTATGGAATGAGCTTGTTTTTGCTGTAGTTTATATTAAAGGTAGCCAAAAAAGAGAGCAAGATTTTCTAATTATGCTTTTGTATTTATTACAGACATATGTAATAAAGATAATTAATTTTAGAAATGTTTCCTAAAAGAATATGAATAGTCTTCAGTCTGTCTCATGCGTAGTGAAAATAATAGTAATTTATTTTTAGATAACCAAATTTCAATATTTTCATGAATTCATTGAAAGTCTCAGTTTTTGTGGTGCTAAATGGTTGGTATTTATCAAACATTTAATAGAATTCAAATTATGTTATTTTCATATACTGTCTCATTGTTTGGGAGAGGAGAATTATCTTGATTGTAATTACATGTCACATTTATGCCTACATAATTAGCTATACCATTTTGAATCTATTTGGTGCTGTTTGTTGAAATGTGATGTATAAAAATTCGTTTTTTAATTCACAAATATTAAAATACAAAAAAAAAAAAAAAAAAAAAAAGCATTAAAATAGTATAATAGTACTTATTTATTTGTCAAGATAGTGTTGAAGGATCTGTATAACTTCTTAATTGTTGTACTGGCAAGTATTTTTCGTATTCTTGTGCAACTACTTTATAAAATCTTTTATTAAATTGTACTACAGGAAGAAGAAAGAGAATTTTATTAAATTTTGTTAATAATTAATTTTATGTTATTTTAATAAAAAAATACTTTAAATTTATGTAAACTCTAAAAAATCTCATTATCATAGTTTTTTCCTTTTCTCGTGCAATAAGATTCATTTTCATTATTTAAAAAGAAATATAAATTTCTGTAAATAAAATGTTTTTGAAAATATTTACCCTTCTTCTTTGTTTATATATAGTATATATTTTTGCTTTATTTGAATTTTATTATAAAACACAATTATGTAAGAAAAAACATTCTATAGGGAAACTGAAGTCAGTATGTCTAAGATACGTTAATTATATATTGAGTAAAAATTCAGTCAGTGTTTTAAGTCTGTATATTAAGTTTTTCATTCTGTAATCATTGAAAAAAGAAACTCAGTTGAAATATATTTTTAAAAGTGCTCTATACTGTTATGATTAAAAATGCCTTAAAAATTAATGTAGATGATAATGCAATCCATTCGTAGGTATCTGTAGAATATATTTATCTGTAGCTCTTCTAATGAAATGTTTTAAACACTAATGAAATTTTAAATTGACATGTGAATATATATATCTTTATTATCATATACGTTTAATGATTTTAATATTGCAAAAATGATAGATTTTTTTATATTTAAAAAGAGAAGTTCATTTTTTTAATATCGGCACAATATTTCTTAGTAGAGTGTTAAAAAATTATTACTTACCATTATTAGCAATATGAATATTTCATATTTTGGCGTATAGTTTTAACCTTGTTAAAATAGATCTTCAGCGCTGCATTAATAACAAACATGTATCTGTGCAGAATATTATATTATGTATATTATACAAAATATTATATAATATATATTTTATATGTGCAAAATAATGTGTGTTTATAATCTCTTTGTGAATTTTAACAATTTTGATAAAAAGAATTCATTATATAGATGCAAAGGAATATTTATGTATACAATGTTACTTCTGAACCAAATGTATCTCAAGTGAGATTTAATTGAATAAATGATTTATAAACTGAAACTTGTTTAGACATGTATCTAAAATAAGTGGAGAGTAAGTTTGCTTAAAACCAATTTCTAAAGTTTGTTGTTGTGCATGGTTTAAACTCAAAACAAAAAATTTATTGAAAAGTACATAGTAATAAGAATACTTGATTATAATACTGATATACTTAATCAACACTACAAAGAACTCTTTTCTTCATAGTTTGGCCCCACAAAATGAGTTATGAGAATATCTCTTCAGAAATAAAAAATTAAAGGATATATATACTTTTCTTTGATATATTACTGAATATTGAGATAGAAAAAAACTAATAAATTGAAAAAAATATTTTAAAAAAGTATAATATACAGGTAGTTCCATGTTTGCTAAATCTGAAATGTATCAATGAAAAACGAATTTTTTGATTTCCAGACAGTGTAAATTCAAATCAGAAATGGCTTATAAATTAAAGTAGTGATGTCTCCAGCAGCTTAACTGTATTGCTTTCTTTGCTATATCATTCTTTTCTAATTTGTTTTGTTTAATTCTCGAATTTCATCCAGATTTGCAAATGTCTTTGAGAAAGACATTTAGACATGAGCTTTCATGTTTTTTAATCCATTCTGTATAGTGAATATACTGAGAGAAAAACTGGAACCTTTTCTCTCTAGTATTTCTTTTAAAGAGAAATTTCAACTCAGTATTCCAGAATATTGTTTTTAAGATTATTCCACTGGAATTGGCTTTTTGTATTTCATTTCATTTAAGTTGCTATTTCAGATACTCACTATTCAGTAGTTGCTATATTATATTGAAATTTTGCATTTTCAAAATTCTTATGTTAACTAAATTTGCACTATATCTGCAGATCAGATAATGGTGCCTTTAATTCACGTATTCTTAGTTATCTTTTCATATTGCATTTTAAAGTACATCTTAGCATAATTCTTAAGAATGCTTTTTTTATAATCTCATAGCATAATCCAGTATTTGATACGTTTCCTTATAGAGTTAAGGAGTAAGACATTACTTCAGAATAAACTTTACTTGTTGTCAAATGCCAAAATCTTCTGTGTACCATGTCACTATGTCAACCATTTCACCACAGAAGGATATGGGAGGAATACTTTTATTTCCTCACATTCCATACAAGTAGGTTAAGTGTGACTTTAGAAAATGTTAATTGATCTCCACTCGGCCAATCCAAATTCAGTTACAGCTTTTTATTTTTAGCCCAGCAACAACAACAACTTTATTTTAGCAATTTGTCCAGAAGGGCTATTAATTTCGTTTTAACATTTTCGTTGATTCACTATAAACGGCGAATCCCTTTTTAAATTGTTGCCACCAAATATTAGAGCCCTGTACTGTATTTGAAAAAATTAAAAAATGAAGAAGCTGCATAAATGTGCACTGCACCCCCCTCCGAAAAAAAGGGGGGACAGGTCTATATCTTAAGTTCTACTGGGCCGATTGACGAAATTCAGCTTGCATTTTCCAGGTCCTGAAAGCAGGACTTAGGATATGTATCAGATTTATATATAGCATTGTTCTAATATGGGTATTTTGATACAAAATCGGACTTCTTCTGAAATGACATGCCAATTGTTTCTATATTTTGATTCTACGACTCAAATTAAGCCAAACTGCCAAGTTTTGTAAAAAGCGCATGAGTAGTTTTTAAAAAGTTAGCTCTCAAAATTTTAACTCCTCAATGTTAATTGAATTTCATATACAGTAAGACCCCGCTTAACGCTGTTTCGGTTTAGCGCTCTTTTATTTCAACCCGGGGATTCCACGAAATCGCTCGCAGCATACGGGGATTCCCCGAAATATTATGCAGCGATAGGTTTCAAATACATATCCGAAAGAGTGTACTTGTATTTCTTGTTTGGTGCGGTATTGTAAAGACATATTTTGAAGGGGTAAATGTGGAAGATGTCGAAGAAATAATTCAAGAAGCAGCGGCTAGTCTTTCTAATGATGAGCTCAAGGAATTAACTGAACAAGAAGAAAAAAAAAAAAATGTTGACAGCAGTGATTCAGAAGAGCAAAAAAGAACTTTCGATGGCGTTTGTAAAAAGGAGTTTGTCTACCGTAACTGAAATAATGGATCAATTCATTGAAAATGATCCGAATTTTGACAGGAGCTCAAAAGTAAGGTGTGGTGTTAGAGATGCTCTATCCGTTTATGAAGAACTTTTAAGAGAACAAAGCAAAAGAAAAAGGCAAACAACATTAGATGCTTTTGTCACAAAAAGGCAGAACACTGAAAACGCGGAAGGCTAACTAAATATGACTAACTTAGAATTTTATTTGTTTTTTTTTAAGAATATTCGTTTTGTTATTTATATTTTGTTTTTATTTTTGCAAGAAATAATAATGTGGTATTAATTTGGGCTTTAAGAAATAAATGTTTGGTTTTATTTTTATTAAAAATACATACTTTTTAAATTTAATACCTAACCAATTTCCTAGCCATCTTCCCCTAACCCCAATATTTACATGTAAAGATAGCCTCGTTTAGCGCTGTTTCGCATTACGCTCTACTTTGATGGAACGTATCCCCCGCGTTAAGCGGGGTCTTACTGTATTTATAATAATATCTCTTTTTTTTTTAATTAAACTCACTTGATTCCTTCTTCCAGAATTTGAAATTTAGGCTTAATCAAAATATAAATTTGCACACTCTATGATTTATTTTTAAAATTTGTATTTTTATAAATTAATATCAGTTTAAAATAGATGTATTTCTAGGCACACCTGTAAAAAACAGTTTTTTTATCCACAATTTCCTAACATATACGTGAATTTAGGTATTGGCGTGCTTTGAAATTTGGCATATTTGTTACAAGCAATAATAATGCCAAATGTGGTTCAGTCACTATATTAAAAAAGTATTTGAAAGTGGACCTTTTTTCCTTTCGTTTACAATGAAAAAAAGGAAAAGAAAAAGTGGACCTTTTTTCCGTTCGTTTACAATGAAAAAAAGGAAAAGAAAATGGATTGCTATAAATTAAGAAGTTCGCCAAGTCAATTAATTATTCTTGGCGCAAACTGGAGAAAATCCGCCTAGATAAATTTTTTAGTGTTTTCGTAAATTTCGCACCAAATTTTACAAAATTAAATATTTAAGCATAATTTGAATCGATATATGGAATAAAATTGGCATGTCATTTCAGAAAAAGTCCGATTTTGTGTCAAAATACCTATGTTAGAACAGTGTTATATATAAATCTAATATATATCCTAAGTCATGCTTTCGAGACATGAAAAACGCAAGTTGAATTTCGTCAATCAGCCCAGTAGAACGGGAGATATAGAAGAAGTTCTCTCTTTTTATTATTATTTTTATTTTATTTATTTATTTTAGCAGCTATCAAATTTTGAATAACGTACGTCTCTATCCGAATATGGGCATCTGGAAGCCCAAATTTTGAATTTGCTTTCTTATCTGTTTCATATTTTGTAAAGCATTTATCAGTTTTTGATTAAGAAACTCAACGATTTCAAAGCCAGTAATGGCAAAACTGTACAGGGAGGGGAAAAAAATTATCTGCATCGTGCCAGACTGTGTTTTGAAAATTCTAAATATATGCTTTGTGGTATTGCTGTTGAATTGAATTTATAGTTTAAGTACGAAGAACATGATATTTAATAAATAAAGGTAACACATAAAGCGTTAAAAGAACGCTCCTTTGGGCGAAATATAAAACCTGAAAGCTTTCAGATTTTTTACTTTTTTTTAATTGCAAGATTTCTTGAAAAAATTTCGATATACTACCTCATGCAAAAACGAGCACAGCATTTTTGAGTGTGCCAGACCGTTGTGCTAACTCCTGTACCACAAAATCAGATGGGAAGAGTGCTGTAACAACATAAGATGCTAGTAAATGTAAACTAAAACACAATGTCGCTTAAAAAATAAACTAGATGGCATATTAAAATTTGTGCTGGCACATCAGAAATTTACTGTCTCTGGCATTTTATATCTATAAATGAGTTAAATTAGTGTTTTAAAAATTTCCTTACCCATGTGTCTTCCTGACATAATTGGAAGCACATCCAGCTGGAAATTGGGATGTCTGGAGTTTGAATCCCGGCGAGGGAATTGCATATTTTTCGTGTTTTCCGGCTTAAACCTGATGACTCTATAGTAGCAGAAAAAAATTCAAGTCGGCCTCAGAGATTAGACAAATCCTACACAAGACGTATCATAGATTACCACTCATAGAGTAAACTCTGAAATGTAATCACATGCAGTCAGTCCATCTTAAATTTATTACCAATAATGCAAGAATTAAATAAATATACATGTTTAATATTGAAATTTCTTTATTTTCGCTATGAACTGTGACAAATGCATCCAGACAGCACTCTCCCGCTTTCTTAGTGGCCATTTAAGAAGCCTTGTCTTCCAAAGAGGTAAAAAAACCCACCCGATTTGTCAGAAATGTAACAGTGAGCAGGCTTCTCTAGCACTTAGGTATCTGAGTTCGTCCTACGACAACCTGGTTAAGTTTCCTGTGCTAGTCTATGACTTTTTGGAAATGAATAAACTCGTGGATCTCATCGAAGCTGGACTTGAGGATTAGCAACAACAACAACATTTTTCGAAGTCCGAATGTTACTCGGGTTCAGCTTCTGACATTCTAACTATAGCATTTCTTATTGCCTCTTCCTCCCCCTTCTTAGATACCAGCCTTTTACTTAAAAGAAGTATATATAGATGGCAGCACTGAACTGATATCGAGAATGTTTTGTTACTCTTAAAAGTGAGAAACGAGAAGCAGCAATCACGTTCCACCAGCAGCCGAAGTCGCGGAACGCTAGTGGTTTTGTCCAGAGCTCGAAACCTGGTGAACAGACGGACGTTTTCATAGATTTCCCCATGTGTTAGGTGTATACGAGCCAGCGTTAGGAAGTCCTTCACGAAAGCATCCTTCCTCTTAGGCAGATAGCCATCATGTGCTTTGTCGTAATCAAATAAACCAACTCAAGAAACACCCAAACATAGTCAGCATCCAAGCCACGGG